TATTCTTTCTTTGTTCATCTTGGAAGTACTGTTCTGCAATTAGTAAAAGTATCAAACAATTTTTGCCTAATAACAGGCAACATGAAGAACACTTGAAGCAGGTAGCATAGTATCCTCCATAGTACATGTTGAAGAATGTTAAGTACACTAAAACAGGTGTGAAGTTGCCTGCTCTTCTCTGCACTCACAAAGGCTCCTCCTTACTCCATTGCTAGCTGGGCATAACTGTGGCTATACAGATTTGGATGAAGGAGCTCTAATGCATCCAAACCAATCTCCGAGTTTCTTCATCCAAAAGTTCTCCTTCCTCTAATTCTTTTCCAATTTATTTTTCCTTGAGTGACCAACTGTAAATCTGTACTTGTCATTTGTCATTACATGGCCCAAGTGTTCTAGTTTCCTGTACTTTATATTTTATGATTTCTTTATCTTTAGTCATGCACTTTAATACTTCTGCATTGGTCACCCTCTCGATCCAATAAATTCTTAGCCTCCTGAGATAAATTTACATTTTTAAAGGTTCTACCATTTTTACCGTCGCCTGTGTTAAAGTCCATGATTCTATGCTTTGCAATGGAACTAAGGGCATGTAACACAATGACATGTGCATTCTCAATGTCAATTTTAAATTGCTGTGACTTATTGCATTCTTCATCTCAAGGAAGCTTCTTTGAGCCATCTCTGTTCTGACTTTGTGGTTTTGGGCAAGTGGCACAATCCCAGGGTGCCCCCCAAGATGGGAATGGTAAATCACTTTTGAGTATTCTCTACCTGGAAAACCCTGAAAAGGGTCACCAAAAGTCAGAATTGACTTGATGGGGAAGCCACAACTGTGATACAAGGACATCTGCAAGCGGGATCTGAAGGACTTAGGAATGGACCTCAACAGATGGGAAACCCTGACATTTGAGTGTTCAGCCTGGAGGCAGGCGGTGCATCACGACCTCTCCCAATTTGAAGAGACCCTTGTCCAGCAGGCCGAGGCAAGGAGGCAGTCCCGAAAGCAGCAAAATCAGGGAGCTGGACAGGGGACAGATTCCATTTGTCTTCAGTGTGGAAAGGATTGTCACTCTCGAATTGGCCTTCTCAGCCACACTAGATGCTGTTCTAAGGCCTCCATACACAGCAACATTACCATAGTCTTTCGAGACTGAAGGATACCTAACTATTATTAAACCACTTCCAGCAGTATTTTGTTAGGTGTGTAATGGAATACTGAAATGCTGCTTATGCATAGTGGTTCCTGAATCAACACAAGGACATGTGATATCCACATGATTTGCTTGTTGAAATGTGCACAACGACATTTGCAAGATCTCAAAAGTGACTGTTAAGGCTTTTTTACAGAGTTCAGTAAGTCCAGGAGGAGGCCTGGGAAATGTGGGCTGTGGGATCTTTCTCTCTCTTCTTATCACTGTTGAGAAAACAAATAAAACCAAAGACTTTGCTTCCTTATACTCTTTTACAATAAAACGTGGAATGATTATTAGCCTACCAAGAAGGGTTGGGCACTGTGAAAGCTTGCTAGGACCAAGAAAATAAATTTCAAGAATCTGGAACCTTAGAGTCTGGATGTATAACTTTCCCAAGCTCTCCCAAAGTTATATGATATCTATATAGTTCCCAAGGTCAGAAGTCTACAAATAATGAACTCAACACAACTAGTTGTAGGGATAACCTATGTATCAGGTGTAAAAGCCAGAACTCTGCAGACTCGCATGCTAGTTGTGTGACCAACAGACAGAACACAAGAACTCGCAGTTCAGATAATTCTATGTAAAGAGGGGCCAGCTTGGCTCTCGAAAAGCTAGAACCACACGTGGGGGGGGCCTTCAGTACAGATCATAATGGTGCCAAATAGTAGACCAACAAGCAACAATTAACTTGCGAGGAATTGCTCTTCACTCTCAGAATGAAGTGGGGAAGAAGGGCGCCGTGTACCCCTCTTGAATTAATTGGATTAAAGGTTCACTGTAAGTGCACCTTAAAAGTCTATGAATCGCTGCAAATGTCTCTTGTGGGAACCTGCCAGATCTTTTCTTTCCTTGGGCCCAGTGTTTCTTATTCTGGGGGACTGCAGTTTTCGAGGGCATGGAAGGGTTTTCTTTTTTCACATCAGTTGCTACCTGATTCTTGTTAACTAGCAATGCCAGGGCTTGAACATGGGACCTTCTGCATGCAAAGCATGTGTTGTGCTTGCGAACTATGGACTCCCAACGCACCGCTAGAAGAGCAAAGCCTGTCCTTAATCATTAGGCAGAGTGAGGCTGTTGTCACAAATGGCAGGTGATAGAAGATGGTGGTAGCAGCTTCCCAGCCATTCATCTGCCTTGCAGAACTGTGTGGGTGCATCTTACCTGCCCTGTCATGAACCCCTTAAAATGGGTTGTTGCCCCTCAAGTATGCCATTGCCATTGTTGAAATGAGATTTTTGTCTGGCTTGAGCGGGCATTCTACAGGTTGCATTTCTGTTACATTTTATGTATATAAAATACTTGTCTCCCTACACAGATACTGGAATGACTCGTCTGTTCCCCTGATAGCCAGGTTTAGTTAGCATACCTTTTATCGCCCTCACTGACACCTGCTCACTCAGCTCCTGAAAACTCAAGACTGTGGCTTCCTTTAGGGAGTCACCCCATCTCATATTTAGTCTTCCTCTTCTCCTGCTGCCTTCAACCTTTCCCAGCATTATTTTCTTATTTTCAGAGAATCCTGCCTTCTCATGGTGTGCCCAAAGTAGGACCAGCCCCAGTTTCAAAATTTTTGCCTCCAGAGATAGTTCAGGCTTGATTTGACCTAAGAGCCACTTGTTCGTCTTTCTGATTGTCAAGGGTTACGCTCTCCTGCGGCACATTTCAATTTTTTTTTGTGTTCCTGTTAGCTTTCTTAACTGTCCAGTTTTCACTGGGATTACAGACAGTGAGTAAGGAGAACTTTAACACACAAATATATAGACCAGTTATCATTATATATACTTGGGTTTTGGACATCTGGGCAGAGCTTGGGGGGAAAAAATTCAAACCACAGCTCCCATTTTTCCCTAGCCACCAGTAGCCATAATGGCCAAGGGATTCTGGGAGATATCGTCTCCAAAAGTAAGGTTTCCAAGCACCCCTTCCAGGGCCAACAATGCTATGACAATACTTGTGCCTCCTTACTTCTGTAAAGCTGATGGTGTTCTCTTTCTGATACAAGTAAGACTACACATGTAGACATGGACGTATTCATATATGAATATACAAATACTTCCATCTCTACTACCAAGCATTAAAGGTCTTTGTCTTAATTCTGCAGTGGTTTTGACATGTATCAATAGAAAGCAAATGTTGCTTTCGTGTATTGGAGTAGCAACCAGGACTGATAAGAGGCACTGGAAGTCTTAAAAGGGCTATTATCTCCCAAGTGCACCTGTGGGTGGAATGCGCATTTAAAAAGTACAGTTTGCTTTTCTCTAGAGGCAAGTTGGCTAGAGCCCAATTGATAAGTACCGAGACCTGACTGATTCTGAAGCCCAGGGCACGGTGTGACCCCTTCCTCAACCTTAGCCATCGGAATTAAGAGAACAACCAGCTGCCAGGGAATTGTAGCTCAACACCACCTGGCAGGTCACATCTCCCTCCCCAAACACACACACCTGTGCTGGAAGGCTATATAAAGCAGCCTCCAAAATTCGATACACTCCAGATGTGCTGTACTGGATAGAGTGGAGGGTTATGGGAGGACAGATTTAGCTGATCTGGAAAGAAGAGAAGAGTAGCAACCAGGACTGATAAGAGGCACTGGAAGTCTTAAAAGGGCTATTATCTCCCAAGTGCACCTGTGGGTGGAATGCGCATTTAAAAAGTACAGTTTGCTTTTCTCTAGAGGCAAGTTGGCTAGAGCCCAGTTGATAAGTACCCAGAACTGACTGATTCTGAAGCCCAGGGCAGCGTTGTGACCCCTTCCTCAACCTTAGCCATCGGAATTAAGAGAACAACCAGCTGCCAGGGAATTGTAGCTCAACACCACCTGGCAGGTCACATCTCCCTCCCCAAACACACACACCTGTGCTGGAAGGCTATATAAAGCAGCCTCCAAAATTCGATACACTCCAGATGTGCTGTACTGGATAGAGTGGAGGGTTATGGGAGGACACATTTAGCTGATCTGGAAAGAACGAGCAAGAGAAATCTGGCAAAGAATTAGCCTTTAAATTAAGTTTTGGCAATTATATTACAGGTCTCATCCAGCACTAGCCTACGTACATAGACATTGACAAGGGTTGATGAGCATCTTAACGCAATAGAGGGACGGAGGGAGGGAACCGACCACAAGTTGCCCCTCCCAGTTCCGAACAGTCAAGTCTTCTCATTGCAAATCTTCACCATGGCCCTATATATGAAACAGCCCTGTGCACCAAACCAAAGAGAAAATAAAGACCAGTTCAAATGGGTGAACCCTTGTTTATTGGAAACATGCCAACAGAGATGGCAGGTACAAACCCTCCCCTTGATTGGGGGGGCACGGCAAACAGTGATGGACGTGGGTCTGTTTCTGCAGGTTCACAGGGGGAGAGCTCTCGGGAACTGGGGAACACAATCAGCTGCTGCTCTCTCCCAGGGTGTGCTTGTCAAAGAGATACTCCCCGAGGCCTCCCTGGGCTGCCCCGAGACGCCGGAGGTTGGTGACGTAATCGCCCAGGAGTTTGATGGATTTCACTTGCTCGTCAAGATAGTGAGACTCCAAGAAATCACAGAGCTGTCCAGAAAACACAAGACAGGATAGGTGTCAGTTACAAAGCTCCATGCCTACTTTGAGAAGATCTCTCCCCAACCAGAAGCAAATCCACCCGTCCTCGAGAGTATTTACTGTGCTCAGTCCGGGCCAGCGGTAATCTTCTAACATGACTGCTACAAAAGCCTTTGTAGGTTGTTTCGCACCAGGATCACTAGACAGGGATGCTCTTTCCTTTGCATCCTGCCTTGCTTCCTCTAACACAATCCCAGGGTGAGAAGCGCGGGAACACAATCAGCTGCTGCTCTCTCCCAGGGTGTGCTTGTCAAAGAGATACTCCCCGAGGCCTCCCTGGGCTGCCCCGAGACGCCGGAGGTTGGTGACGTAATCGCCCAGGAGTTTGATGGATTTCACTTGCTCGTCAAGATAGTGAGACTCCAAGAAATCACAGAGCTGTCCAGAAAACACAAGACAGGATAGGTGTCGGTTACAAAGCTCCACGCCTAGTTTGATGTTTCCCGAACCAGAAGCAAATCCACCCGTCCTCGAGAGTATTTACTGTGCTCAGTCCGGGCCAGCAGTAATCTTCTAACATGACTGCTATGAAAGCCTTTGTAGGTTGTTTCGCACCAGGAACACTAGACAGAGATGCTCTTTCCTTTGCATCCTGCCTTGCTTCCTCTAACACAATCCCAGGGTGAGAAGCGCAATTTCTCCATAATCTCCTCCCCAAGAATGTGGATGCTACTGGTCTTGTTTGGAGAGGACAGAGCACAGCTCATTTTCTGGGCCGCAAGAAGACAAGTGTGAGACCATTCAGGTCTTAAGAAGGTATCTATGCTACACAGTTGGGGCAGTCTGTGACCTCATGGCACTGTCCTCTGGAATCCTGGAAATTGTAGCTGAATGAAGTACTTAATAGTAATCTGCTAGTGTTGTCCCAAAGGACAGCATTATGGTTTTCAAGCAGAGAACTCTTAAGTTGAGTGTGAAACTAGAAACTCCAGGATTCATAAGAGGTAGATATCAAACTTCCTTAACTATGAGAAAGAGAGAGCATCAATGGGGAACTTAACAGCCTATGGCCAGCAAGCTCTCTAGAAAGCACAAAGACACCCTACCAGCACTTGTGATACTCACATGTGGGATCAAACTTCCTTAACTATGAGAAAGAGAGCACCAATGGGGAACTTAACAGCCCACAGCCCACATGCAGTCCTCGCCTATTTTCTAAAGCCCTCTGCAAGCGAGAACCTTTGGAAAGGAAGACCAGCAAAATGGGCTGCTGGAGACAAGCGTTTTCTCTGCTAGCAGGGACTCCACCACCAAGGTGAGGACAGCCCTGGATGGATGGGTGGGAGGATACAGTGCCCCCAAACTAGTCTGAAGAAATGGGGTGGGGAGGGAGCCAGTGCTCCCCAATATTCTTAGACTAGACCTCCTAGCTCAGCCAGCTGTGCCCAATGGAATTCAAAGTTCAGCAACATGTGGAAGGCTGCCGATTTTAGAAAAGAGCATCTCAAAACTCACAGCTGACAAAGATTGACTGCGGAAAGGCTGGGGCCATTCATTGTACAACAGCACTACATCACTGGTTCTTTTGCAAACTGGGAGTTCTGTGTTATCTCTGCAGCAAGCAAGCTCTCTAGAAAGCACAAAGACATCCTACCAGCACCTATGATACTCACATGTGGATCTCCTTGATCACTTGCAAGCCGGTGGAGATCCAGGTGTGCCTTGTTCACGCTTTTTTCCAGCTGAAGGGCTGCCTCCATAGCATCCAGAGTTGTACCCCAAGCATCCTTCTCTGGCTTCTGCAGAGATAAGGATTAAGATGAGCAGCCTACTTCACCAAGGCAAGAAAAATAATAAGAATCTATCCTTTCCTATTAGCCTCACTCCCCAACAGAGAACGGTGAACCCTGCAGATCTGGTAGGAGTTCCTGTAGACCTCAACATGGAGGACTCAACCAACACTCAACAATCCCTTCCTACTACAAAATTAAACTCCTCAGAAGCCTTTGCCAAGCTGGAGGCTTGAACAAAGGGTAGAACTACAGGATCCATGCTAGCTGGGGAGACTGTGGATTGTAGTCCAACATACCCAGAAAGGTTGAAGAAGGCTATTTTACTAAACTCTACCAACAAACTGCCCTCAAATGCATACCTTGATGTCCTGCAGCAACACACGGCCACCACGTTGACTCTGGAACTTCAGCAGTTTCTCGGCATGTTCCCGCTCTTCGTGTGACTGTGACCGGAAGAACTTGGCAACATGGTGAAGGGCAACGTCATCCCTGTCAAAGTAGGAGGACTGCAAAAGAGAACAGAAATACACTTCTATAGCTTTGATGGCTACAGGATAAGTGACAGGAAACATGGCCAGATGGTACATCAAGTTCTAAGAATAGATCCTTGGGTGATTTGCATTAGATCAGAAAGGAATTCTGACTTTTAACTATTTATCAGTCTCAACAATTAAAAAGTATCCCTACTTCTAAGAACACTTGAGGAGTAAAATCAGGAATATGGTGTGTGTGTGTTTTAAATTATATAGCTTTCTGAGCTAGGTTCTGTTAATAATCACAAATTTCTGACCTGAGCACATGTTTCTTCAATCCTCATGCATATCCAATAAACCTAAGCTACTGCTTTGCATCTGGAACCTGTTTGATAGACCTCAAATTTCTAATAAAGCACAACAAAAATCCTACAACCTTTTAAAATTAAACTAATATTAGCTAGTTTATTTTATTTCCAAGCCTCCATTCTCCCAGTGTAGGGATCCATTTGACAAATTATTCAAAACAAGCACAACCAAAAAGCACAATGGACAAAATCCTGTTCCATAAATCATGTCTGTGTAAAGGTATGAAGTATTATTATTATTATTTATTGAATTTATACCCTGCACCATCTGGCAACCAGGCCACTCTGGGTGGCTAGTACAAGCAGGAGATTTTTAGAAATTAAAGAGTTCCTACCTCTGTCCCAGAGCTCACACAACTTGCATGCAATGAGACTGACTACATACAGATGAGCCACAGGACAGAAGCTGGAACTCTTTAATTATTGAACATCCTCCTCTGCTGGTGACATCATCATTGGAATAAGATTTTGGCCAGTAAATTATAACAAATAATTAAACTTATAACAATATAACAAAGCTGATGGGGAAATAAGGTTATTCAGATAGCGTGACCTGAGCTTTATAGGCCAAAACCAGCACTTGGAACTGGGCCTGGAAATGGACAACAGTAAGTCAAACTGTTATAATAGAGGAATTAATGTTTCCTGTAACCAGCGTGGTCAGCAGTCTAGCTGCAGCATTTTGGACCAGCTGAAGTTTCCACTCTTCAAGGCAGTCCTAGTTAGAGCATGTTGTAATCATCCAAGAAAAATAAAACTGGGGCATGCATCACCATAACCAGATTAGACTTCTTTGTGAATGAGCACAGCTGGTACATTAGACTTAACTGTGCAAACACACCTCTTAGTAATGGTGGAACCGGGCATTAAGGCTCTGAATTAAATCCAGGACACCCAAGCTACAAACTTGAGCTTCCAGATGTGTAACTTCAGCTATTACAAACTGAATTCCTGTCTGCTGGTCTGTCTTTTTACTGACCAGGAACATATCTGTTTTATCTAGATTAAGAAAGAAGAGGTGGTGATGCATGAAAAACATCTATTGAGCAATGTCTCAGAAGTTTACAAGTTCTCATGGGGTGGGTGGAATGGAAACAGCTTTTTCCCCGTTTTGTGTTTTCAAAAGAAATGATCCACAGTCTATTGTTCCATTATGCCTAGAGCTGTTATGTGAACACAGACAAATATTCAGGAGAGCTGCTGTGCTGTTTTTGTGGCAATAAGCTAACAAGGTGTCTCGTGTCTCTTTAAAGACTAGTATGTTTTATTTGGCATACGTTTTTTGATTTGTTTTTTAAACTACAGGCCATTTCTTTAGATACAACTGATGATGTGGTTTACAGCCCACAAAGCCTTGCACCAAACAAAACACATTAGTATGCTGCGACTCTATGCGTTTTTGCCTAAAAATAAGTCCCGGAACAGAAAAAAGACAGGTTTCTAGTAGAGAATCTCTTTGTCCGTCATTGTCTGGAAGGTACACAGTAGATATGCATTACAATGGCAGGGGACAGAGGAAGTCAAGAACACTGAGGGTCAGTGGAAGAGAGTCTTGAGTCCCAGACTAGACTAATTTAGAGCTTCTGAGCAACTGAATTGCACAAGATGGAGGACGGTCAGATTATGGGATGTTTTAGCACTCAGTATTTCTACAACACCTTTCTCTGAACTTCTACTTTCTGGCCATTTTTGAACCACCACTCCTATCAGCCAGCTCGGAAATGTTGGACATTACAGTATGTAGACTGTCTGGAGGACACTAGACTGAGAAAGAAGGAAACAGAACCAAAAGTGAAGAGTGGTACGCAGGCAGAAGATAATAAAATAAAGTGCCCCAGGTTTGGGGGGGAACGGAAGAATGTGGTTGTGTAACATGCACACTGCATGTCTGCCACAAAGACACAGAGAAATGGAAGAAGCAGACATACGGAAACATTAAATTTGTCATTACTTTTAAATAAAAGAAATCAAGGAAATCACTTGCACACCTTTCGTACTTGAAGTTGGGCATGTAAGGGTGGAGAAAATATGGGATTCTAGACAGAGGAGGGAAATGAGGTGGAGCAGAAGACCTGCCAAGGGATCGCTTGTTGAACCACCCTCTCTAGGTTTATCTCTGCTGTCCACACTTGTGGTTCCACCCATATGTTTGAAACCACAAGCAAGTGGAAAAAGCTGGTGGGGTGGTGGAGGAGGAGAGAGAATGGAGAATAACAGAACAAAGGTATTCGTTAAAGGCAGAAAGGGTAAACGGAGGAGGAGGAGGTTATGAAATAGCTCTGACCCCTTAAAAGCAATTTTCTGCCTGGAAAAGGGCTGGGGATTGTCTTTTTGCTGAGTTACTGCCTAAAGGAAGACCAAAAAAGGGGCTAGCTTTGGAAAAGGAGAAGCGAAAGAAATACAGAGGTAGCTAGAGCTGTAGGGAGTCAAAACAGCTGTTGGTTTGCTGCCGTTTTTCTTCCTCGAGAGGAAAGGTGAGCTATGCAAGGAAGGACTCCTGGAAAGAAAGACTTCGATCTTATCACGGGGTAAAGAGCTCCTCAACTGAGATCCTACGCCAGATCTCTCGGGTTGCTCTCTAGCCACGTTCCCCTTGGCAAAGAACAGGGACAGCCGGATTAGGAGAAGGCTCTAACCCCACTCGATCCAGCGCCTTTGAAAGGAATTGACTTGGAACTCCATTAATCCCCAGACAGAACTTGGGATCCATCCCGTTTTTTTGGGGGGGGGGAATCTACCTCAAGGCACACGCACCCCCTCCTGCATTGCTACCCACCATGGACAGATACACGTAGCTGGCATACAGCTCCATGTTGACCATGCGGTTGACGGCCGCTTCGCAGTCGCGGTGGTAGTTCTGGCGGATCTGAGACTCCATGGCTCCGGAGCAGACGACGATTCGGATCAAGGCGGGCCGACGAAGGTCTGGCGGATCTTAGCGGTAGTTCGGATGAACGGCGGGCAACCCGGTCGGTCGGTCTGTCTGTTGCTCCCTGGGAACTCAAGTTAAGAAGACAGGAGGAAGAAGCAGAAGGGGATGCAGGGGGAGAGAAAAAAAAATCAAAGAAAAGACGGCGTGGAACCGGTTCCGTCCAAACACTGTTGAAGCAAGAACCCAGCTCTGCAGGACAAAGGGATTCGCGTCCCTTTTATAAGGCGGCCAGGCGAGCGAGAGGGACGTGCGCAGCCACCAATGACCGCCCGTTGCCACACGCTCCGTCTGAATGTGTACTAAAGGCGGAGTCCGGGCAAAAGGGGACCCAGGAGTCCTAGCGCCGCCCGGCCGGGCCTCGCCTCGTCTGAATCATGTGACGGCAGGCTTAGCGGCCACCTTCCCTCCCGGAACAGTCGCATCGGGGGGCTAGTCTGAGCACGTTGGAGGGAAACGTGTGAGTTAACATACAAACGTAGCTCGCTCTCTTTTTCACTCTCAGTCTCTCGCCATCTCACACACACAGAAGCACAAACTTCTTTTTTGCGTCGAGCAAACTTAAAAACAATAGCTTTGCAGCATCTTAAGGACTAGCGTCTTTCTTGGTTCTGCAGCCTGCTGCCACTGATCGTGGAATCCTAGAGCTGGGAGGGACACCCAAGAGTCTCCATCCAACCATCCGACCAAGCACGAAGTCTACAGCTAAAGTTATCCCTGATAGATGACCATCCAAAGTCAATACGTCGGACCTCGAATGAAGAAAAGTTAGTTCTTTCCTCCACTGAGGAAGAGGGTTTTTTTTTTTACTCTGTTATTCCTAAAGTTTAGTCTCAATCGCCTTCCTTATGGAGTGAAACCACTGCTCTGAATCCTATTCTCCGGAGAAGTAATAAAACTGGCTCTACCTCCCGCAGATCCCTTCAAAGATCTGAAGCTGGCTGTTATATCACCTTTCCCACCTTCTCTTGCCCACGCTAAATTCCCCTAAAACAACGGTTTAATTTCCAGACAGTTGACCGGTTACCCAACTCCTTCAAACATGTTCCAGCTTAAAAGTGTGGCGCCCAGAACTGGACACAATATTTCCCAAATGGTGAACTGTTTTTTTAAATTGTTGTTTACAGCGAAGAGGGTATTGTCCTATTTTTCTCAGGCAGTGGTTTGAAGAAGCTGAATGTGCTTGTTTTATTTGCACACAGTGCTGCACCAGGCTAACAAAAGTCTGGCTCACACAGTCAAGAGATGGAGCAGGAAGTAAATGGTGCTCTGCTCCTTCCCTTAAGGTGCACAGTAAGACACAGTAGAGTCCATCAGGGCAGGACTTGGGTGTGTGTGGAATTTTGAAGGTTCCACTCAGAATAAGCAGAAAGGACCCCCAAATGCAGCCAGGTTAGTTTATCCCTAGCTGCTTAGAGTGGGTCGTTGGTCCGAGGTTCCACTCAGAATAAGCAGAAAGGACCACCAAATGCAGCCAGGTTAGTTTATCCCATCTTAAAAGTAAGTGGCAGAGTACAGGTTACTGTCTAAAGTTACCTTACCACCCACAAAAAAAGCTGTTTTAAGTCCAGACTCTCAAATTACTTAACTGCTTTTCTTGTGTGGAATATATGACATGGATTTACTCTTTGGTTGTTTTGCTGCCATCCGCAGGTCCTGAAGAGGCAGGACAGAAGGGAGAGTTTTATCTGATGCAGTTTCTCCCCCGAGGGCACCAAAATAAGAGAAAAAACTAATTCATAAAAGGAACAGGAGCTTTCAGATTGAGCCTGAAGCCAGGAAAAAAATAAAATAAAAACCTAGCCGTATGCAGATTTAAATGAACATTTCTGTGGATCCACCTGAGAACATAACAATCCTCAGCAAGGATCCATGTTATTATGACTTATTTTCATCTTATTATTTGTGTTTTTTGGGGGGGGTCCACTCAGCTCACTAATAGTGCATGATTTTGTTAAAACGAAGCAGAATTTGGCTTACTACATTCATACATGAAACGGCTTCTTTGTAATTTTATAGGATTACAAGTCTAATTATGGCTCAAAGCAAGAACAAAATGCAGATAAGAGATTAAAGTAAGTCAGATGTGAAGCAGCCATAAGTGCTGGTGCTTGCCCCAAGATCAAATGTAGAGTAGTTATGTCATGGCTGCAGTTAATTGGGTGTTGCACTTTTTAAAACCAGCCCACTAGCAATCTCCTTGCTGTGCACATTTCTGTTAAGTATCTGCAAGGTGAGAGATGTAACTCACACGCATGTGTGTTTGTGTGCACGTATATTCTTCCCCAAGAACATTCATAACACCCTAAAATTGGTAATACCTCTTTGTTGTCACATGCCATCAAGTTGCTTCTGACTTACAGTTAGCCTATAAATGTGGGACCTCCAAAAAGCACTCTGGTCAACAGCCAAACTTGCAAACTGAAGGGTGTGGCTTGCTTGCTTGAGTCAATCTATCTCTCATTTGGTCTTCGTCTTTTCTGATTATCTTCACAGTGGTGGCGCTGTGGGCTTTGTCACATGCCATCAAGTTGCTTCTGACTTACAATTAGCCTATACATTTGTGACCTCCAAAAAGCACTCTCGTCAACAGCCAGACTTGCAAACTGAAGGGTGTGACTTGCTTTATTGAGTCAATCTATCTTGTTTGGTCTTTGTCTTTTCTTATTGTCTTCAACTATTCCCAGCTTTACTCTTCCTGTGAGTCTCGTCTTCTCATGATGTGCCGCCCCCTAGAGTCGGACACGACTGGACAAAAATTGTCAAGGGGAATCTTTACCTTTTTATTCCCAGCTTGACTCTTCCTGTGAGTCTCGTCTTCTCATGATGTGCCTAAAAAACAATACTCTCTATGCTATGTTTTAGTTATGATATGTACATGTTTGCATTTTATTTGAGATGTGTGTTTATGCAGAGCATCACAAAGACTTGTAAACAGGCAATAATCATAACAACCATCTGCCATCAAGTCAATTCTGACCTCTGTGGCAAGGGTTTCCAGGGTTTTCTAGATAAGGAGTACTCAGAAGGGGTTTACCATTCCCTCTTCTGGATGCATCCTAGGACTGTGCAGCTTGCCCAAGGCTACACTGACCCCGTTCTTCTCCCTGGAGGCACAGTGGGCAATCGAACTCCAAACCTCTGGCTCTGCAGTCAGATACCTAACTCACTGAGCTATCCAGCCAGCTGAATGTATGATTATGCACACCTAATTAAAGTACCATATTTTAAACAGCAGTTGCATGAGAAGCAGAGGCTGGAACCCCAGTGTGGTACTTGTCTGGAAATCTGTTTATGATTAGGTTAGCTGTGGCATGACCATTTATCACTGTGTTAGATCGTTTTTGCAGTTTAAAAAAGGCCTATGGTGGAATGAAGGAAATCTATTAATTCTACCAAGAGCGGAATGTTGAAAAAGAGACTAGGTCTCCCACTTGGGTATGACCAAAAGCCTGATTAGTCATTTGCAAAACTGTAAAATGTAGTTTTGCACCATCACCATGTGTGTATTTTATTAATTATCCTGGTCCACAGAAGTGCATCTTAAACTTAGATTCCCAGATGCTATTGGACAATAGTTCCCATAATCTCCACCCAGCATGGTCAGTGATCAGGCATTCTGGAAGCTGAAGTCAAGTATGGTGGACTCCACATTGGGAAACCATAGACTAGAGGCTCTAGAGAGTAACACTGGCAAGGCCTGTCATGTAGCCATGTATGCTTTAGGGAGAAAGTCTCAGGTGGGAGAAAGTTTCAGCTCCTGACGCACAGGCATTTGATCAAAATATAGTCTGTTGGCTAACTTATATGATCCACCCCACTTCCTCACAGCCCAGAAGCCTTCCTGGGGGCTAAAGCAAATCATGCTCTATCTTCTGGCATATTTCGTGGCCATCTCCACACCCCACTGTTCCTCAGGCCTCAAAGGACGTCTCAGAAGTGTCTGCCTGAAGAAAACTCTTCACATCTGATTGAGCACATGAGAATATACATCAAATCTCTTTGGATTCCGGAGCTAATCTTGACATATGGTTCCCATTCCCCCACTTTCACAATCCTCTGATGGACAAGTTGAGGGTGGATCTGGTGTTATGTTTGGTTTGTTCAGGGATAGTCTAAATAACAGAGTCTCTTTGAATTGTTTCATGCTTTGGATGCCTGCCACATATAGCCAACATCTCACATATTCTGCTAAATTATAGCAAGCTACTAAAGCAAGCTTGGTAGAGTTACTTTTTTGAGGGACTCAACTCTCAAAATCCCCCAATAAGCCTGGCAATTTTGTAAGTTATAAGAAAGGAACTTTCTCAAGTATGAAGTTAGTTTAAAATGCAATCCTAAACATATTTATAGGAAATTAAATCCTGATGAACTTAAATGGAATCCCGAGTAAATTTATCTTGAATGATGCTGTAAACCTTGTCCCTCTTTTTCGCTGCTCTCAGGTTTGTTGACCCAGCCACTGACCTCCGGATCCAAACTAGAACTCTCTGCCCTTTCATAGACCCACAGAATCCAGTTCTTCTTACAGTGGCATTTTGTGGATGGCCATAGTCACAGTCTTTCCCTGGTGTTTTCATTGTCACTGTGAGTCAGCAAAATTCAGTGTGAGGGAAGAGAAGGGGAGAACTTATCAGCTGAGAAACTTGTTCTCAAACTGGATGATGCAACATCAGCATGTCCAAGACACACCATGCTTAATCAGCATCCCTCATGACGCTCAGCTTGTTCCTTATTCAGTATTTGGAAATGCCATTTTTCTTCTTTTGAATTAGAATCACTTGGATCTCTGAACCAGCAAAGCACTAGGCCACTTTGCCTGTTGGAATCAGGTGACTGGCAGTTTCCAAAGAGAGGCAACGTTCTGACCTCTGTCCTTATCCACTTCATTTCCAGCATTTGTGAGGCCCTACCATTTGACAGAGTGAACCATCCACCTCCGAAAGCAGATTTGGCAACATAATAGAAAGAAGAAAATGACTAGTTACCGAATTTATTGTTTCTACTGCTAGAAATGGGGAGAAAACGGCTTCTTTGTGTGCCACAGGCTGTAGTTATTATGCAACTTAACATTAATGGGCGGGAAAAAGTATTCACTACCTTACCTGAGGCAGCTAAATTTGTTGGGCTAGCCCTGATGTGGGAAACCAAAGGAGCCGAGGTCTTACGAAGGTTGAGCCTTGGATGAGGTGATGTTTGTGCTTCTCCCTCTCAGCGCAATCTTGCTATTCTAAATTACTCAGTCAGCAAAGCCTCGAACATATCTCCTCAAGCCCTGAAGTTATTAATTGATAATTAAAAGCCACGACTAGTGCTCACAACTTGCTGAGCTGGCCTTTTGTTGCTTCTGTGGCTACATTATCTTAATTAGAGTTATTAACAGATGACCTCGTTGGGGTTGCAACCCTTAATCTCCCCACCTCTGGCTCTCGGATGGATTTTTCCTTCCCTGATGTGTGGCGGGGAAGAAGAAAAAAAACCACCCCCTCCAGTGGGAACTCAAATTAGATGATGTCTTGTTGCTATTTAGGAAGCTGACAAAGGCTTTAATCAGTGCATCAACAACTGGACGTGTTAGAAGGGTTAATTTGTAACTCAGAGGTGAAAGAACAAGGCTTTCTCTCTGCTTTACGTGACATTCTGCATGTACTAACATTTGACTGGCACTAAAAGTTCCAGGGTGGTGTGCCAATTCTTCTTTTCAATGCAAGAAACAAGGTGTTACACTTTATTGCTCCCTCTTGAGGCCAGGTACTAGCAAACCTTTTTAGACAAGAGACAAGGTGAGTGAGCTAGCTAAGCAGCCATTGGGGTGGATTTGGCTCATTGACTATAGCTCAGGGAATTAGACATCTGGATGTATTGCTGGAGGTGGGGAGTTTGATCCCCTACTCTGTATCCCAGGAGAAGACCCAGCCTGTGTGGCCTTAGGTAAACTCCAGTGTCCTAGCATGCCTCCAGAAGAAGGGAAGGGAAAACCACTTCGGAGTTCCCTCTACCTCAGTGGTGTCGAACTGTGGCCCTCCAGATGTTCTTGGACTTCAACTCCCAGAAGCCTTCACCACCACCTCTGCTGGCCAGGATTTCTGGGAGCTGAAGGCCAAGAACATCTGGAGGGCCACAGTTCAAAAACCCCAGAAAGGGCTACCATAAGTTAGAATGATGGCATGGTGTTACTATTGTTCACCATCAACAGCTTATCAAAACTTTTAGGTCTCACCCCTCATCATCATAAATCGGCATGTGGTTTCAGGAGAGAGAAAGGGACTTGCAAGATTCCCTGAAACCTTGCAGTGATTATTTTTTAACAAGTTATTATTTTTGAACGAAACCCTTCAGAATCTGCTGGTTAGCATGACATGGATTTTGGGCGCTGTCATTCAAAAAGTAACTGTTCTAAGCTCCTGAGCCTGCCACCTGTATATCTCATGCACTGCCACTCTACCTCTTAGAAACACTGTAAAATCAGGAGCTGCCTTTTAAATTTTCTTAACTTGATTTTCAGTCCTGTGGCCTCAGTTTTAGAATACAGTTCACACAGGAATCTTTATTGTTCTATAAATTCTGTGTATTATGTCATCGTAACTGGCTTTAAATGTTGTTAAACTGTTGTTTGACTGGTGCAAAAGCATTTAGAAGGATGTACCAACTGCTATAAACCTCTCAGAACATTTGGGGGGGGGGGAATGAGACAATGTGTGTGAGACAAGACCAGATTAAGACATGCTGTAGCCCCGTTAAAGAAACTCTATTATATTACTAAAGAAATGTGTTATTTAAAAAAAATCTTGAGGGATTTTTGTTGTGTTTAGAAACCCCTCATAATCTGAAGCCCTAAATTGTAGCTTCCTGCACTTTTCCAAAGAAGTAGCCACATTACTATGTCTCAGCATGTTGACAACAAGGGGAGAAAGAAAAGAATATTGCAGCATTTTAAATACAAACAATTTTATTTCTTTGTGAGTTTTTGTGGATCAAAGGCCACTGCCTCAGACCCTCAGTTTCTGCATAAAACCAGCCCTGGTGTGAGGAGAAAGAGGAAGCACCTCATGATTCATGATAGCACATGGAGCTCTCCTGAAATGCTAGCTTTTTAAGGAACTCTGGCTGGGGAAAAAGCATAACCGGCTCCCTTTCCTAGATCCTTTGTGGACCATCCACTTCTTGTCAAATCTGCCAGTCCCTCAAATAACTTTCCTCTTTGAGGGCCAATGGGCTCTATTCAGACAGCCAGATTGGAAGCACTGCAGTGGAGCCACAAAAAAATTCAACCTGATTCACAAAATGGTAGATGGAACAGAAGGCCTCAGGCAGAGGAAACTGACGGGTGGTTAGCTAGCTGCTGAAAGGCGATGTGTATTATAGAATCTGTCCTGTGTTCCTGATTCTAGTTTACTCTCCTCAAGTATGAAAGAGAATACTCTCCCCTCATCACTGTGGAAGAAAGATTACATTTGGTCTGAGCTCTGGATTTGAAAAGAGGTTCCTGCCATTTTGTCCTTCACCTGAGGCAATAATATACTTTGAGCCAGCTGTGTGTTCTTTCACAGAAAACACAGAACATGTTGTTCAATTCAGTGACTAAAACATAATCTGTTGTCTGGAAACATGCAAAGGAGATACTGCTAAAGGATAGCCTATGTGTGCTTTTTCCTTGTCCTTTAGTAATGGCTGCTTCACAGTAGGCATAAGAAGAGCTTTTACCAGTAAAGATGTGATCTGCAGGCTAGACAGATTTATAGCATTTGTTATTAATACTGAGCACTACTGAGTTGCTTGTATAATTTTTTTAAAAAAAGGATTAAATTTTCACAGCTAGAACCAGAAAATATTATCAACATGCAAGAAGGATGGCAGTGAAAATCCCATTTCTCTCCACTCTCTGCCAATCTACCTCTAAATGACTGCTTTTTGTTTAGAGTGCCTGTCCACACTGGCATATAGTTATGGTATACTGTTTCTTGTTTGGCATGGAGAAAAAGACCTTGCTCACTTGTGTTTCTACTTAAAATTATCCATCCTTTCCCTTTAAGAGCTGACCCACATCTTTCTGGCACAGGGCTAGGACATGCAATCTTTTTGAGATGATTCATTATTGAGATGCAAAATAGCTATTTGTTCTGTCTTCACAGATGGGTATCAAGAGTTAAAACAGATTGCAGTAAAAATAAGGACCTTTTAAGCTATGGCTGGATCACACCAAATTTCATAGTGTAGACAGGCCTTAAATTTAATCTCCTGCTTTTCTCATAACGTGATGGCCATACTCCCCAGTGCTTTGACTCCCACATAAAGCAGAGGCTGAGTGCTTTGACAGGAGACAATGAAGGATTAGTAAATTACTATCATCCTTTGTTTATAAAACTAGAGAAAGATGATTGATTATACATCCCCCTCCCTTGGTGAAATGTGACACCAGCACACTTCCAGCTGGTTTTATAAGGCTGCAGTCTCCATCTTGGAATTTAGCTACAGATCATGAAGCCTCAAGGGATGGCCAGGATGAATATTAGATTTTTCTCTTTCTTCCTCACAATGCAAAAGCTTGTTTGCTTAAATATTTCGTGGTCTAATATATTATTATTATTATCATTATTTTGTTTTTGCAAGTTGGGAGGCTGTTACATGCCACACAGGTTCTCAAAAGGAGGGGGGGGGAAGTGTGTGTTTATGTTTGTTTTGACTCCATTTCACTTATTATTTTGAGGCAAGGCAAAATCTTCCCAAAGAGGAGTCAGTCTTTTCCATATTCTACTCCACAGGAGCGCAAGTCAATTTGATTGTGGTGCCGATGATCACTGATGTGCTGTCATCAAATGTCCGTCCCACTTCTATTCAGAAGATGGTAAGTAAATTAGCATAGCCCGCTGGGGGGGAAAAACAGCAAGAATAGTCACATTTTGGTATCAATTCATTCAAAAAGATACATATATTCGCAGGAGAACAGTATACAAATGTTGCCAAAGTGTTAACTTGTAGCTGTTGCAAGATTATCTTTAAAAGGTATCTGATCAGTTTACAAGTACTTTATGAGTTTTGTAAACACAAGATGTCTAATTCAGCCTCTAGATCAGAGGATCATAAAGATCTTTAAGGCTCATTATACATGGTACTGTATGGAAAGGATTGTCACCCCTATGGGAGAGAGGCCCCACAGGCTGAACTGTTATGTGTGGGTGTGTGAATCAACTGTTTATGCTTTGTTTTGGGGATCATAGGAGTTATACATAGATTTTGGACTACATGAGGGTCCAGCGACCCTAACCCTAGCGTTGTTGAAGGGAGACGTGTATATCAAGCATTTTTCTCACAATTTGCCAAGCCTGCTTTAGCTGTCATATGGACTGGGAAATGTGCTTTTTGAAAGACGGCTGAAATATACATGATTGTGCACGTTGGCTAGGGAATAGTAATGTCCTAAATCAGTGGTTCTTAACCTTTGTTACTCAGGTGTTTTTGAACTGCAACTCCCAGAAACCTCAGCCAACAGAGCTGATGGTGAAGGCTTCTGGGAGCTGCAGTCCAAAAACATCTGAGTAACAAAGGTTAAGAACCAAGTGTCCTAAATGATAAATATTTGCTAAAGAGTTAGCAATGTCCATTCTCTAAAAGATTGGCCTGCATATCTCAGATACAGCTCGCCTGTCCCCTGCTGGATCTGTTGGAAAAGCAACCAGGTAAGAACAAGTTTTTAAGTCTAATGGGGAAAAAAATCAACATGACAAAGGTCTCGGGAACTCTTCAACAAAACACAGGGTAACACTCTAAATGAACTACAGTAATTTAATAAAAAGGGGTGGGAGCAACCTCATATACTGAGGCAAACCATTGGTCCCTCTGGTTCAGTGCCAACTACTCTGATTGGTGGAGGCCTGGTTCCTCTAAGGAGGAGACTACATTGCCAACAACTGTGGAAAATATTATGGGTCTGGGGCACTGATCAGATGTCACTACAGGAAATGCATATTAGTCCAGAGTCCCTGCTTCCCAATCAGTAGCTTTTCTTGTCTTCTATTTTTAAAAAATGCAGATCCTTTCAGATCAATTCAAGTATGTGATTCTTTGAATTGAAGCAGAAAGGGAGGATAAGATATGTGTTTGCACACACAGCATCTTCTTACCTTCTCCCTTCACCTCTTACCTCATTAACTACTGGGTAATTCAGTGGATTAGGTATGCGGTTGTGGAGGCACAGGTTGGGAGTTTGAATCCCCACTGTTCCTCCTTGACAGGGTCTGGACTTGATGATCTATAAGGTCCCTTCCAACTCTGCAGTTCAGAGGGGAACTGCCAGCACACACACTGCCCAGCAAAGCCTCTCTTCCAAGACTCTTCTTTCTTTATTTTTATTTTAAGCGTCTCTTCATCTTCACCTTCATCTTCATGTTAGAAGTGCAGAGCTGGGCGACACTCCTGTGTTGTTTCCTCCCCCCCCGCCCCCCATTTTAAAAAACTGTTTAGCCAGGCAAAACCCTTTTGGCTGGTTGGAAGCTGGTAATCTAAACAGGAGAAAGCCCCACTCAGGGCCTACACATGCAGTGGACAGTGCCACCTGCAGGGTTGATTGAGGCTTAGCCACTTCAATCCAACCATCCTGAATTTCCTGGTGCTAATTTACAGATAGAGAACGTGCATTTCCCCTCATTGTGTAGTCACACCTCTTAAATGGGGCAGGAAGCCCAGGGAGTGTAGAAGTTTGTACTCTATGAGCCTGAAAATAACATTTCCCTGCTGTACCAAAAAGGGGGGGAGGGGAACTATGTGGCTGGGCATTTCTAATTTTTGATATTTTAAAAAAGTTTTTGTTGAGGGATTTTGGGCACCTCTTTGTTGCTTCTTTTTTTTTTCCTGGATGGAGCTTTCAGGGGTTGGAAAACTGCATGCAATCTACAAGTGGCATTTTGCCTGTCTCCACCCTACACTTTCTAATACTCCAGTTCCCATCAGCAGAAGTCAACAGTTAGGAATGATGGGAATTGTACTTCGAATAAATATGGAGGATTTAAGTTCCTCTCCCACTCAGTGCTCAAACTGTTGGGAACTTATACGCCACCCCCTCCCAAATTTTCTAAAAGCATTCTACTATTGAACTTTTTCTGAGAACAGAGGAATCCTTTGGCCCAGACTTTTGCTAGAAAGCAGAAATAACCCGAATCCCTTTACCCCTCCCTCCCAAACAAGCAATATGAATTCAACTCACCCAGCCCCCCTGCTGATGGATCCAGGCAGCCAAGCGGTCTCGCATGAAGGCCATTGCCCAATTTACCACATTATGGAACCAGTTAGAACTGGACTGGGATGGAAAAAAGAAAGAATTTGATGCTACTACTGATTTTTAAAACAGAGTGTTTAAAATTACACGTATAGTAGGCCCAAGGTATTTGAGGCGGATTGGTTCCAAACCTCCCCTGGAGGTTTGTTGCTGGTGTATTTACTGAACAAAGTTTTTGGACTGTAGGATGGCAAACAATGATAAAGATTTATTAGTTGCTTTTCCTACTTGAAAAATAAAGTAATTTTGCCTTCAGCACAGATGAAAACACACATGTCCATATCACAGGTAATACAGAATGTAAAGTAAGGGTGGGGAACATGTGGCCTTCTATATTTTGATGGACTACAACTCCCATCATCCTTTGCCAATAAGCAAGCTACCTAGCCCTGCTGGGAATTGCGGTTCAACATCTGGAGGGCTACAGGTTCCCAGCCTTAACAGGGAGAGCATTTAAACACTTAACTGGCCTGTACAGTGTTGCTTGTTGGACTGAGGGACACTGCCATGTCTTCTAAAACTCCTGGCTGCTCTTAAGCATCCTCCCCATCCTCAATCACCCCCCAACACTGCCTGTGGTACCAGCACAAATATCCAGCTATTTACCTGAGCAATGACTTTGTAAGCAAAGTAGAAGAAGACAACGATCCGTCCCCAGTTAATCCCAGTAGCAAAGGTTTCTTCAGCCACAGAAGCCAGGACTTCTAGTGGATGGCTACCCTTGACACTTTCTGCCATACTGTGAGGAGAGATGGTATCAAGAAACAGAAAGAAGACAGACAAGGTCAGGGGAAATCCATGGCACTTAGGATATACAGTATGTTTTATTTAACAAATGCTATATTCCACCCCAGTGAATGGCCTCCATGTGTCTTGAAGTACTGCAGGATCCCTGCATTCTAAGGCGGTTGGTTCCAAGCTTCCTGCTCCGTAGAGAGGGAGAGGGACATGGACACACACACACACTTTTTTCTTTTAATATTTTTTAATATTTTCAGACCATGGATAAGTAAATCAGCAGATACTGATCCTGTGGATAAGAGGATCCTACTGTAATAACAGCAAGATACAATGAACAACAAACCCTGAAGCCACAGTGTGGCATGTGACAAATGCATCAAAGCCTGCAGACAAAAACTGCAGATGAAAAGGAGCAACCCCTCTTTAAAGGGGACAGAACATGGGGAGATTTTGCCTGGGTCAGAGATTGAGAGAGAGAGAGATATTAAGCATTTAGGGGCTGGCATTAAAAAAATCCCATGTATTTTAGAACTATTACCTGGTGTCTGCAGTTATGACTGCTAGTGGGCTGATGGTAGGTTTTGTTTTTTTTTGCATAGTTTTATTTCAAACAAACAAACAAAATCTCACTTATCCAGTTGCATTTTAAGTTTACCCAACCAGGAGTTGCATCCTCAGAATCAGCAAAAGCAAAACTAAATTGTGTTGCCAGATTTTGAGTATGCCTCTTATGTAAGAATATGAGTAGATTCTAACTGGACCAGGTCAGAGTCCATAAACTCTAACTTTCCCATACCTTTCAAAAAAGCTTGATAACAGCTCCCATCAGTCCTGTCTGGGCATGATGGGAGTTGTAATCCTGTACCTCTAGAAGGTGCTAGGTTCCGAGAGACTGACCTAATTCATCATTCTTTGCAATCAGCAGTTCTTTGATGGTCCAAGAAACACAGATCATAGGGGAACAAGCCTGGCTTTCTCCTGTCTCATCAGATTAGTTCAGAAAGCCCATACCTGGTGAGTTCTTGATTATTGTTGAGTTCTTGCCATATGCGGAGCATCTTGTCTTGCAGCGAAGTGACCTGGGCAGAATCTGGCACGTCCTCCCCATCTGGTTGCTCCAGTAAGTCTGCCTGAGGATGGCATGTTCTATATTTCTGCCACAGAGTCCTGATAAACCTGCATGAATAAAACAGAATCATATTTGGGGTGGATGTATTTATGGGGAATCTGACAACGTAGGAGGTACATGGGTGAGCTTGTAGCAGAGGGTTCAATGGGACAAGTTTTGTTTAGGCAAAGATGCTAGACAACGGTCAGCATGAAGTGTGGGCAGGTGTGAATGAGGATCACTAGAGTGAAGAGATGCCTGAGTTTCATACAAGGGATACATAGTCTGGGATGAGCAAGCTTTTTATATCTGGGGCTGCCTTTCCTTGGGGGTAAATTGCTAAATGCAGGGATGTGGTGATGCTGTGGGCTAAACTGCAGAAGCCTGTGCTGCAGGGTCAGAAGACCAGCAGTCATAAGATCGAATCCACGAACGGAGTGAGCTCCCATCGCTTTGTCCCAGCTCCTTGCCAACCTAGCAGTTAGAAAGCATGCAAATGCAAGTAGATAAATAGGTACCATCTCAGTGGGAAGGTAAAACGGCGTTCCCTAGTCATGCTGGCAACGTGACAACGGAAACTATCTTCGGACAAGCGCTGGCTCTATGGCTTGAAAAGCGGGATGAGCGCCGCCCCCTAGAGTCGGACATGACTGGACTAAAAAATGTCAAGGGGAATCTTTACCTTTACCTTTAGCAATGAATGAGTCCAAAGCCCACAACCATTCTCCCTGTCCATTCCACCTTCCCTCCACCCAGCAAGCTGAAGGAGAAGGGACAGATTCTTTTCACAGAGGCCTGGACTGATAATCACTTCCAAAAGAGTTTTGAAAAACTAGGCGTTAGGGCTGTATACTGTCCACTCTAGTTAGAATTCAGGATCTGCCTTGTTCAGACAGTGGGCTCAAGGTACAATTGATGGTATAATTATGGAATGCGGATAGCTTGAATATTGCTTGAGAACAAAAAATATTTCCTACCCAATGAGGAGGGCTTTTCCAATGCGCAAGATGTACGTAATGTTTTCTGAGGTTCCTTGACAAGAAAGAAAAAGCAGCAAGTTTGATTCTTTAATGTCTCAAAATTCTGTTCACAGAGGAAACAGTGCCTTGATTCTTCTTCTGCATACCTATCAGATCCAGAAATCAGGTGCTTCACACTCCCTAAGAGACAGACAGAGAGATCTGGGGGGAAAAAATCAAAAGCCTGTGTTTCATCACAGGTGGCATTCATCCCAGCAAAGGTTTAGCTCCAGAATGGTACCAGAAGAATCTCAAACAATTATATTAAAATTCACCTGAGTATCAGAGTACTGTATAAGTCTTTTCACTGTTGCAATAATTGCAGACATGTCTACTGTATTTCTACAAGATCTTATTAATCTGCATTGCTTCTATGTTCCATATGCACATTACTTCAAAAAGTAGCAAGTCAAACATCTTACAATTGCGAGAAAACCTGTAGACTTAAAAATCCTTCTTTGTAACTTATACAAAGACTGCAAGTATTAAAACTTAACTTATGTAGCCATGAAAATAAAAGACGCCTGCTTCTTGGGAGGAAAGTGATGGCAAACCTAGACAGCATCTTAAAAAGAGACATCACCTTGCTGACAAAGGTCCGCATAGTCAATGAAAGTAAAATATATTCGTTTTTATCACATCTAGACACACACAGAGAAAATACTAAATAATATTCTCACCCAACCAAGCCAGTTAAAATCTATGGAGGAAAACCCATGTCATCTGTGCATTTTCTCTGCATCGCTTCGTTACCTTTTCTTCCCCTCTAGCAACATGTGCCAGGCACTGTTTTAGCTTCTTAATTGGCCATCTGTTCTCAATCATATTTATACTCTTATCTTCCCTTCCACAACTGTAAATAATTTCCATTCTCTTACCCAGGCCCTCTAGCAACATGTGCCAGGCACTGTTTCAGCTTCTTAACTGGCCATCTGTTCTCATTCATATTTATACTCTTATCTTCCCTTTCACCTGTAAATAATTTCCATTCTCTTACCCAGTTTTTTTCTCACCCAGGATGTGTGCAAGACCAATATAAAATTTCACAGACTTTGCACATGCTCAAATCCCTGACTTAGAAACTAACATGTTATCATATATCTAGGTGTTGAAACTCACCTATAAAGCTGTTTATTCCTTGGGACCCCATTACTTGTTGGAGCATCTTTTTCCAGCATCACCAGACCCTCCCAGGCAACACTCTTGCAGGTGGTCACTCCAAAGGAGGCCAGAAAATTGTCAACAACAAGTCAGGCCTTCTTGGCAGTAGCACCAGCCTTCTGGAATTGGCTCCTGGTTAAGCTGTGCCTGCCCCACTCCCTCTCCACTTTTAAGAGGTTGCTGAAGACACTGCTCTTCCAAGAGGCCTCCAACTGACTTTTTTGCCTTGTACCTGGCTGCTTTATATGGAAACATCGCCCTATTGTGGCTTAATTCTGACTTGTCTGTTTAGTCTATGAATGTATGATTGTCTTGTTTAATTTTGTCTTGCTATGTTCCATTGGTTTTATCATATTGTTAACTGCCCAGAATAGTGCTGCATCTTAATGGGGTAGTATATTAAATCAATCAATCAATCAATCAATCAATCAATCAATCAATCAATCAATCAATCAATCAATCAATCAATCAATCTCTTGTGACTATTTTATGCTAATGTAGAAAATACTAAAATAGGAATTTCTAACCCAGGGTTTTCTAAGCAGATGAAATCTAGATCTCATATATTTAGTTTTTTCAAAAGATGGTGGTACTGTATAAGACTCCTTTTTCATCCAGCCACCTGTCAAGTATATTTCTTTCAGAACAGGGTTATTTACTATACAGAATGACTTTGTCTTCCACACTGAAACTGGCATACATGAATTAAATACTCATAGCAGTGTTATGAGTAACCCTGTTCCCAGACTTGGCTGGAATACATTTTGTTTTGTAAAGCAGCAGATTGCTTAGAAATGTAATATAAACTATTGTTCCATGCTCAGGCCCCCTTTTCCCCCCCTGCACTCCACAATAATTTCTAACATCTTAATCACACAAGGTTTCAAATGTTGACATACTAACTTGTTCCTTTTCTTTCTGCTTTTCTGAGAATCCAAAGTGTGAGTTCTACCTGCTTCCCAATTGGCAACCACAGAATTTATTACATCAATTCTCCCTCTTTCCTTCTCTGGCTCATAAACAACTAATCCCATTCTCAGAAATGCTGTGGGGTGGAGTGGGGAATTACTGAAACCTGGTAAAATTTTATGAACCCTTTGAAATAAAGCATTAGATTTCAGGGGGTCATTCTTCCCAGTACTGTACTTCCCCTGTGGTTCTATGTAAGATGTAATTCTATTTAAAATGACAACTTGCCCCAGCATGTCCTGGAGACCTAAAGATAGTCTATGAGGAAGAAAGCTGCAGTCCACTAAAGATGCAATACCATATTGTCTTTGCTCTTAGCAATAGCATGATCAACATCTGAGGCAGGTTCTACTCCCAGGGACGGGGAACGTTCAGACCAGGTTTCAAGAAACTAGTAGCTGCTTTTTCGGGATGATTTCCTCACACCGAATCCCCAGCACATCTCTGCGCGTTTACTCAGAGGCAAAGTCCACTGGGTTTAACAAAGTTTGCCAGCCCAAGTAAACGAACACCAATATCATCCTCAAAGCCTTTCTCACTTTGTTTGCGTGAAGCTCCGGTTCTTAAGCGAAGGACGCACCCAGCTGGGGAAAAATGAAAGCAAACCACCCGGCCCTAATCGCCCTGCTTTCTTTTCTCGGGTCAGGATATCGCCCCTTCCCCCGGAGCAACCCTGTAAGCCACGCTCTTACCGGGTCCCCAGAGGGATGCGGGGGCAATTTGTCCGCCCCTCGCCTCTTCTGAAGCCATCGCTGGACCACAAGAGGAGGAGGAGGAGGAGGCGGCCCTTTCACCGCGGGAGCGGGAACGCTCAACAGGCCGAAGGAACGTCGGAGTTTCTTTCTGGGCAGGAAGTGAGCGAGCGTGGAAAACTTTTTGCCTTTGCGGACTACAACCCCCAGCATGCCCCCGCCGGCCATGAGGTCGTCCCCAAAGATAAAATACCCTGGCCAACATCTTATCGGACAATATAGTAACTAGCACTAAAGCAGACCCACTATTTGGTAAGTCAACTCCATTGACTCCAATGGGCCTCCTCTAACTGGGTCTTTCTTTAACATAGGATGTTGGAGATAGAGTAGGCTCATTAGAGTTAACGGAGCTACCTCCTTCCAGCTCTGTATCCCAAGTGGATGCTATGTGTATACTGTAACCCGATATATTGCACGAAGTAACAGCTTTGGCCACTTTCTTGCAGTTCATGGAAAGGTGACCTTGCAGGATTCTGATTTCCCACAATCCTACAACAAACGCTGCCCCTGGACGTATTGGTTAGGATATTCTAGGAGTTATCATCATCATCATCATCATCATCATCATCATCATCATCATCATCATCATCATCATCATCATCATCATCATCATCATCATCAATTTTAAAAAAAGTTCTGGGTTCTAGTACGAGAACCAGTGAACCCATTATTTCCATTGTAGTTTTTGAAATGTTTCTATGTTTCCTCCCTTTGAGGAAAACCTCAAATAGAGCAAAAACAATTGCAGGAGTCTAGAAAACTACGATAGGAAGACACATCAGGGATTCAGCTTGTGTGGGATGGGGTTACACAGTGCTGGAATATTCAGTTGTGCAGCTTGGGTGCACTTCTAGATTTAAGCCCCAGTCTGGACATCCAGGTTTCAGCAGTGGCTACCAGGGGTGTGTTTGTTCAATTAAGGCTAGTGCTCCGACTACACCTATTTTGGATAGGTCTGTGACACATGCCTTCGTTGCGTCCTGCCTAGAGGATGCTCTGCAAAATGAAAGGTGATCTAATATACATAAAAGAATACAGATACATAAAACTGGCAGCATAAGGTGCTGGTCAGCCTAGTCTCACACACTGTCCACATTGCAATTTTCTACCACCTTCAGCTAATGTACAAGCTCCTGATGAGGGATCATGGAAGGTGAAGTCAAAGATACTTGGAAGAAAGCTGTCACACGGTCAGTAGTCCTGCCCATTTCAAGATAATTATGCCTGATAATTAGTGAGGAATCTGCATGCCTTTAGCATAATTGAAAGATAGGGTGAAGCAAGGATGTATGAACTGGGATACAGGCATAACAGGAGATGAGAGTAAAGGGGACAATTCTGGCAACTTCATGCTCGGGCCACCGACATGTATGTTCCAACAGTTTATCCTCAAACATCAAGAAATCTTTTGCCACCTTTAAATCTTACTTCAGCTTTTGTGAACTAAATTCAGTTCTTCAGCTACAATGCCCTGTGGACTATAAGCAATGAAAGCTCATTTTAAAAATCTGTTAGCTTTTTTAAAAAAAGCCACCAAGACTCCTCTTTTTGGGTATTCCCACCACTTGTGCCTGAAACAGACGAACACGAATCTTTGAACATTAGTTAAGGCTGTGTTGCACATCTGCTTCATCATATGTCTTCTATCTTTTAAACAGAAGACTGATAATCATGGGGCGCAAAACTCAAAAGTATATGTAAATAAAATGATCAGACAAAAAATTTATCTGATCAAGCATTTACTATTGTTGTTTAGTCGTTCAGTCATGTCCAACTCTTCGTGACCCCATGGACCAGAGCATGCCAGGCCCTCCTGTCTTCCACTGCCTCCTGGAGTTGGGTCAGATTCATGCTGGTCACTTCGATGACACTGTTCATCCATCTCGTCCTCTGTCGTCCCCTTCTCCTCTTGCCTTCACTCTTCCCCAACATCAGGGTCTTTTCCAGGGAGTCTTCTCTTCCCATGAGATGGCCAAAGTATTGGAGCCTCAGCTTCAGGATCTGTCCTTCCATTGAGCACTCGGGGTTGATTTCCTTTAGAATGGATAAGTTTGTTCTCCTTGCAGTCCAGGGGATTCTCAAGAGCCTCCTCCAGCACCACAGCATTCACTATACTGACGTATATATTAGGTTTGGAGAAACCCTAAGCAATTCATAGGGGCCATAACTCCATTTTGTTGTTTCCCAGAACCTGGTATTCAGGACATACTACCTCTGGTAATGAGAAGCAGGATCAGTCATCCTGATAACTGGCCCCCCAACAGCCCCATTTTGCATGAGCTTCAGAGTTCTCATTTTAAAACCATTCAGCTGAGCACCTATTCCCCCCATCTTGTGGTAGGAAGTGCCAGTTTTGCATGGTCTCTCCTCAGTCACCATTGTTTTTTTTTTAATGTTAAAGCTATCATTGTGATACCCAATTTGATGTTCTGCAGATGGAGGAGCAAAAATGACTACAGTGGTGCCTCGCTAGACAGTTACCCCGCATGACAGTTGTTTCGCTAGACATTGACTTTTTGCGACCGCTATAGCGATTCGCAAAACAGTGATTCCTATGGGGGAATTTCACTGAACAATGGTCCCTGCTTCGCAAACCGATTTTCACTAGACGACAATTTGCTTTTCGCTAGACAATGATTTCGCTAAACAGCGATTTCAGTGGAACGGATTATCATCTTCTAGCTGTACCTTTTCAGAGCACAACTGGGAATTATCATCTTCTAGCAAGGCACCACTGTACCTTTTCAGAGCACAACTGGGCAACAGTATTTCAGGATGAATGAAGCTGTTAATCTCTCCCTGCATTGCTAGCTTTCAATTTGCATGCCTTTTGAAAAATGATACCCTATATTACACAATATATGGCCAACATCCTCTTCTGCCTTCAGGCTCCATTTTCACCTTATTTTGCTCCATTTTCAGAAGAGGCCATTCCGGCATTGTTGTGCCCTGTCCTGTTTAGAATCATAGAATCAGAGTTGGAAGAGACCACAGGGGCCATTGAGTTCAAACACTTGCCATGCAGAAACTCCATCAAAGCACTCCTGACAGATGGCCATCCAGCCTCTGCTTAAAAACCTCCAAAGGAGACTCCACCACACTCTGAGGCAGCATATTCCACTGCCGACCAGCTCTGTCAGGAAGTTCTTCCCGAGATTCAGGTGGAATCTATTCAGGTGGAATCTATTTTCCTGTAGTTTGAAGCCACCGCTTTGTCCTGGTGTCTGGAGCTGTGGCAAACAAACCTGTCCCTTCCTCAACATGACATCCCTTCAAATATTTAAACATGGCTATCATGTCCTCTCTTAACCTTCTTTTTGTAAGGCTAATCATTTCCAGCTCCCAAGCCTCTCCTCATAGGACATGGCTTCCAGACGTTTGGCCATTTTGGTCGCCCTCCTCTGGACACGTTCCAGGTTGTCAATATCCTTCTTGAACTGAGGTGCCCAGAACTGGAGACAATACTCCAGGTGAGGTCTAACCAAGCAGAACAGAGTGGTACTATCATTTCCCTTGATCTAGACACTATACCCCTATTGATGCAACCAAAAATTGCATTGGTTTTCTTGGCAGCCGCATCACACTGCTGACTCATGTTCAGTTTGTGGTCAACCAAGACTCCTAGATACCTTTCACAGGTACTGTTGTCTAGCCAGGTGTCTTCCATCCTATATCTGTGGGGTTATTTTTTTCTGCCTGGGTGTAGGACCTTATATTTTTCACAGTTGAAATTCATTTTGTTAGTTTTGGCCCAGGACTCTAATCTGTCAAGGTCATTTTGAATTTTAATCCTGTTTTCTGGGGAATTAGCAACCCCTCTCAATTTGGTATCATCCTCAAATTTAATCAGCACTCTCTCTATTCCTTCATCCAAGTCATTGATAAAGATGTTGAATAGCACAGGGCTCACAACATATGTCACATGCTGGGATAGATTGCTAATCAAAGTATTTTCTGCGACCAGTATATCTTGCCAAACCTAAGAATGACAATAAAGGGGAAAATTGGAATACAGGTTTGACTTGATTAGAAATGTCTCAGCCAGTGACATCAAGGATTGACTCCATTGAAGGCAAGAGCCTTTGGACTAAAAGATTCAACAGTAGTACAGATTTTCAACTAGTGTTTAAAGACATCTTTGTTCCTGGTCTATCATGTTTTTCTCCCAAGGTGTTTGCTACAAAAAGCCTAGAAATATACAAGTTCTGAAAAGCCAATGCAATTGGATAAATTCTGCACTTTAGAGATGAAGAACGGTTTATGTGCTTCTGAAATCAATTGGATTGAGCTACTGTATGGAAAGCTGTGCAATTTCCCACACACCCCCCACCTTTTCCTCACAAACAACTCCAGATCTTGTGAACTCATTTATTTCCACACATCAACAAAAACAACCAGACAAAAGTTTAACAGCATAGTTAAACAATTAAAACCGTTCATAAAGATGTATCAAACCTTTTTTTTTTCTGTTTAAAAAAATTATAAAATGGAAAGGTAGGTTTCATTTTTCAAAAAAACAAACAAACCCATAGGAACTACCACAAAAGGAGTGGGGTGACATTTGCATAGAACAGCCAGATATGAATGAATGTCCCCACTAGGACAGCTGTCCTCAAATACAGCCAGAGTGATTGGTGCTTGTTATACCCTTTTACGGCTGGTGCTCAACACCGCTGATTGTGTGTATCAGGACTGTGGCTTGCTACTAGTTTATTTGCTCGTAAAACAGTATCTTGTTAAAATATACAGTAGTACTCTACTAGGTAAGTCTGGTGATACAATTTTGAGCCCCTGTTATTAACTTATTCAGATTGTCCATACAGATTCTTTTTAAACCAGGAGCAGGCCATGTGCAGCCCTTGTGAGGTTGATGGACTTCAATTCCCAGCATTCCTCATCACCGGCTATGCTGGCTAGGTCGGCTGGGAGGTGCAGTCCAAAAGATCTGGAGGGCCACATTTTGCCCCCTCCAGCTTTAAAGTATCCAATTATTTCTTACACCCTCTCCTAAGCATTATTGACCGTGGCTAAATGCCCAAGTCAGTCTGAAGGGAAAAAAATGGACAAAGTGGCTGCTAAGCAACCCTCTTGATGTATATAGTCAGGGTTGCTAAGCAGTGCTGTCAATATACTGCTCCTAATGACCACTCCTAAACCTGTAAAGAGCCTTTGCTGAAAGGCTGTTCCCCTTCCAGGGATCAAATCACTAGTCAGCTGCAGCTTTCCTGCATGATGGCTGAGAGAGGAAGGAGATAAGGCAAAAATAGGGTGGTGGGTAATTATTATTAGATTAGCATTCTTTGGGCACCTGCATTTTGGAGAATGTGTCATTCTAGCAAAGCCATTGATATGTTCGGCACCCCTTCCACTTCTATGGGAAGGCTGGCATACATGGGCACCCCAAGACCACATTTCAAGAACTACTCACCACCACCACCGCCCTTTCGGCCCTTGCCCAAACAGGCACAGTGAGAAGAGAGCAACTGAAGATGCTGGTGGAGAAAAGTTTGGTCTCTCTCTCTCTCTCTCTCTCTCACACACACACACACACATACGCACCACCCAGAAAAAGTGGTCTGTGGGAGAGACTGCTGGCTGTTGCCGGGTGGACGCTAAAGGAAGCAAAAACAAGGACGTCCACCTAGATGACCATATAAAAGGGGCAAATCCAGAGCCACATGGATGCAAACACAAATGTGGAAGTAACCCCACAGTTAACAGCCTAGTGGTTAACTGTTCCAAGGCCACCCAGCCGCCCTGCCACAAAATCCATGGCATTCATGGAATCTGCTTGAAAGAGATGACCCCCCCGTTTTCTGTGAATGACCTAAGGAAACTTCCCCTCAGATCATGGCTATTTCAAGCAATCACACCACACACCCCAAAGCCAGGAATCTTCAAATGGGGTGGGTGGGAGATAAAATAAAATCACAGTTTGAAGTATAAAAAGTACTGAAAAACCCGAGATACCTTAATGCTACTGGGAGAGCCCCCTGCGTCTGGCTCAGTAAACTGTCACTCCCAGATTTTTTTTAAAACTTCACAATCTCAAGACATTATCAATATTTATTGTATTAAGAAAAAAAGACTTTGATGAAGGAAAAGCCAAACATTCCCAGCCTGTCAACACATCTGCTGTTTTTTTATGCCTGTTTCAAACAACTGTCATTTTCCTGCTTTTCCTAAGCCTCGATGACACCATACTCCCATTCTAACCCAAACCCTGAGGTAAAAAATACTCCCCAATATATTGACTGAAATTATTCCTCCTGGATCTTCTGCCCTAAATCTCTATTTTCAGTCTCACGGTTTTGTACTTACAGATTCATACCATACATGACTGAACCAGTTTGTCTGGATGAAGGGGCATTCACAGTTGTAAAGGAAACTTTGGGTGGTTCAAGTGTTAAAGCCTGCCCTGGCATGGCTGCTGCCAAGTGAAAGGTTTTCAGCTGTTATCAGTAAATTTGGCAGGAGACAAGAACTGGGAACATGTGATCCTCCAGATGTTGCTGGACTACAACTCCCATCAGCCCTCTGCTTGGTTATGCTAGGTCGGTCTGATGGAGCCTGAAATCTGTTAACATCTAAAGGCCACACATTCCAGGTGCTATGCCTTGACAACTAGTAGAGCCCTGTTCTCAACAACTTCTTTCTAGACTTTAGAAAAGTTACTTTTTGGACTACAACTGAAGTTAATTTTGGACTACAGCTTCCAGAACCCCCACCATGGTCCACAAATTAATTTTTCCTAGCTATGTTTCTTCCCCTATTCTTCCGAAGCTCATCACTGTTTCTTTACCCCCCCCCCTGCCCCGACAGATTTCATCTCTTTGCAGAATTTGGGACAACATTTTGTTGTCAGGTTGGACAGCCCATGGTCCTAGCCTTATAAAATGATGATTTAGTACAGTGTCGATTTCAGTTGTAGGAGAGGCTAAACTATTCCAGCCTGCCAACTGGGCCTCAGCTTCTGCCACTGTTCCTTAAAACAAATCTGCCACCTCAGTCTCCCCACAATCGCAACAGACAGCAGATCCCTGCTCTGAAACACCAAGGAAGGCACAGGAGCAGCAAAAACAATTTTTTAAAAATTAATGCATTCAGATCGTCAGCATCAGATGGAAGTACTGGAGGAGACAGAAACAAGGAAGCTGATAGCACGTGAGAGGTTACAAGCCAGGAATGAGAGTTCCTTCAAATAAGGAAAGGTTTTCAAGCATCGGTTGGTAGAAAAGCAAAGCCATACACTTCTAAGGTGTAGGGCCTGTGTAGATACATGCCTATTTCAGACTGCAGATTCTGTATCCAGCATGCAGAAACATGCATGCTTCAGGTGTCTGAGTTCTGCATTTGGCAGTCAGAATACTTTATGACTGAGGTGAAGGGCAAAAGAAAGATAAAAACAGATGGGAGCCCTTTTTTTGAGAGAACCAAGTGACCCGACTATCTTCCATCACATGGTTTGGGGCACTGGATTTGACAGAATTTATTATTATTATCTTGGCTGAGCCAAAGAGTCTAAAGATCCCCTTGGAGAATCATTCATCCAGGAAAAAGTCAAAATCCAGTGAGCTGAAGAGCCTCCACAGCTGAAGAAACCAAACACACTGTTCTTCCCCAGTTCTTAAACCACCAAAACTGTCAAGGCAGCTGGAAGATTCTGTTCCATCGGGGCACAAAACAAAAAGCAGATGAATTCTTCACATGGCTGAGGAACTTTTCAACTCTTCGCACCCTCTTGCCATTTCTCCTATTTTGTCTGAAGCGCTGCTGCCTTCATAAAGACATTATCTACATTTTCCCACCTCGAACAGGTGATCAGTCTGGGTAAGAGCACCTTTTGCTCTCTGGACAATTTATCTGGAAGTAAATCATGGCCCTGAATTTCCCAATTTACAGTTCTGCAGTTTCTTTAAAAACAAAAGCAAAACACAACACACAAGACCACCACCCCTTCATTGCAGAAGTTCTGCCTGAATTCATCCCTTCAGCAGCGCCCAGACTTGTCCTCTGCTTCGAGCAAAAAAGAAATCAAACCAAAGGATTTGCCACCCAACACCCAAATTCATATCTCCTGCTCAGACAAAAGAAGACATGAAGCTGGGCAGGGAAGCATGCTTGGTTTTCTCCTGAGGAATTCTGGCTCTGTATTTTTGGAGATCTTCAGAATTTGCGTTTGGCAATATGTCATTCCAAGACAGGGGGAGGGAGAGAGACAAACAGAAAGGAACAAAGAGGGAGATGAATACGTTTGAATCCATCTAAATGGAGAACACTGGATCAAATGCCCAGCTATTGGTGGGGAAGGAGTCTTCATCCAGCAAACCATATATAAATTCCGCAGTACTAAAATACCTTCCAGCAAACAGGAACAAGATCCTCATATCCTTCATCTTGTTTTCCTCTACCCTTCTTAGAAAAGGCCTTGAAAAATTTTGTGTCCTCTAACCTCTAATCCCCGAGGCACAGATGGGGAAAATCAATGCTGAGGAGCATGCACTTGCTGAAAAAAAGAGTGTGCACTTTTCTTTTTACTAAAAAAAGGCACCATGACAAAGAGTATCAGAAAAAAACTCCCCAGCCCAGGGCTGAAAAAAGTATTCTAGCACATTTTTATCCTTGTTCAGGAATACTGGGGGAGCCTGCCCCCCGATTTTGTTCCCAATAAAATGAAAGCGTCCCCCCCTCTCTGGAGGGGGCTGAGGATTAAGACATTTTCCAGAAGGTCAACGAGGCAGTCAAAACACCGGCAGCAAAGACAGCAATGGTTTGCCAAGTGGGGGTGCCGAAGTAGGACAGGAGCCCTTCCTGGAAGGGAAAGAAAAAGGAAGGTCAGAGGACACAGAAAGACGAGATGGTAGAAGATCACGCTACACCATGCTGCTGAAATGCCTGTCTAGGGGCCCAGCATGGCTTCATACTCCCATCCTCCTCCCAATTCAGTTGCAAAAATTAAGAATGTTTGACAGGGGAAAAAAAGAGTGCATTTTCCTACTAGATAGAACTCAGCTCACCCTGGATACTTGAACCTATGAAATTTCCAGGGTCTGCAACTGATCATGGCCACCTGTCATTACGAGCCTCAGTGTGGTTTGCTGAGATCTGACTTTTTTGTGATGTGCAATCTTTGCCAGAAACCCATGATTTGTTAACAAACCACAGTCTCCATATACAGCTCACTCTTAGCTTCTAAACTCTGATTTGTTTAAACCATGATTGTCTGTATCTGCAACCATGGCTTATTTTCCTAGCTGCTGACTATAAAGCAGCAGCTAAACATGAGAAGGAGAAGAAGAAGAAAAAAACCCAGAAAGTCAGAGGACAAACACTCTTACTTTGATGATCTGCCAGGCAATTCATGGATTTAGGCAGCAAACAATGGCCTTATAGACTTAATGATTCTATAAGATGACATGTAAATGTGGCTATTGTCTTCTATTTGTAACCCTCTTGTACTTTCCCACTGTTTCTTCAGTCATTCTCCTAACTGTATGGGAGTCCCTAATTTGTACCTGAATCAAGTTGATGGACTTTTGAAATAAAAATAACATGGACTTCCAAACAAGTGTATTTTTCCACCAATAGCAAGAGTTTCCAAATGTCAGTCCAAAGATACTGCAGGACTTCAGTGTCCAGAAAAGTCCAAGGCCATTGCTTAGTGATCCTACAGTTTGCAGGCAAGTGCCAATGGATGGCCCAAGACTGGGAATGATTGGTCTAGAGCAGTGGGTTCCAACCTTCGGTCTTCAGACATTCTTAGACTGCAACTCCCAGAGGCCCTTGCCAGCAGTCTTATGGGAGTTGTAGTCTTAGAACATCTGGGGACTCAAAGTTGGGAACCACTGATCTAGAGCATTTCTAAGTCTGAGAGCATCAGTAATCAACTCACCCATCCGCCCTGGGCTTGAATCCAGGCCAGGACGTAATTCTGGATGTACTCCATGGTCCAGCTGATGATAGTCCTTATGAGCTCTGGTAATTTAGTGCAAATTGCCTGTCGGTGGGCAGGAGAGAGGGTGATAAATGAGAGGCAAGATACGTTGGTTATCAGAGGTGGTCAAAGAAAATGTCAGACCAAAAGGAGGAAAAACATGCTCACCTTCAAGACTAACTTGCATGCGAAGTAGAACAAAGCCACCACCCGACCCCAGTTCCAGGTCCCGTCAGAGAACATCTCAGCAGCCACTCGGAAAAAAACCTCCTTAGGGGGATACATCTGCACTTGCTCTATCATGCTGCAGAAGATAGCAATAAAAAATTAACCGAGGATAAGCCATGAGCATGGGAATGTTTTCTTTTCAGCCTATAATTCCACCCATCCCTCAGCTAGTATGTGCGGTGGCAAGAGGTCCCACTTCACCCACACAGAGCATGGTGCCCGCAACAGCAGAAATTTACCTTACAGATCTAACAATGTGGACTACCATCAGCTTAAAAGAAAGCAAATAATAGCCAAAACATTACATGGACTGAGGGAAAAGGGGAGAAAAAAAGAATAGGAGTTCTACCAGACTACTAAGAATGCAGCTTCTTCGGGTTCTACCTCTCTTAGCAATCAACCAGCAACTATTCCATCAGACAGAGGAACCTCACGACATTAGGAGGTATTGGAGTTTTCTTATTTCACTTTTTCCTCCTCACTACTACTTCTTTTTATGCCATGTTCTTTATTACAGAGGTCCCCAACCCTTGGTCCACGGCCAGGTGCCGGTCTGTGGCCTGAGCCGGTCCAGGGTGCCGAGACAGACCTCCGCCCCCCCCGCACGCACCCACCCCTACACAGCCTGTTTGCCGCTGTGTGCATGCTCCATCACGCCCATGTGAGTGCTGCGCCACCATTTGCACATGCGCACATGCACATGCGCACCCAGATAAGCATCGCTGTTTACGCATGAGCGCGCCTGCGTCCGAGAGAGCGTGCTTGTTCGCGCGTGTGCGCGAGTCCCACCTTTCCCAGCCGGTCCATGGACCAAAAACGATTGGGGAACGGTACTTTGTTAGACCTCAAGATTGAGAGTAGGGACGGTTTAAGGCAGTGGTTCTTAACCTTTGTTACTCGGATGCTTTTGAACTGCAACTCCCAGAAACCCCAGTCAGGACAGCTGGTGGTGAAGGCTTCTGGGAGTTGCAGTCCAAAACTCCTGAGTAACCCAAGGTTAAGAACCAGTGGTTTAAGGTGTTTTTCTTACTCATCCATAATCCTTTCTGAGAGCTGTTCCCAATGTACAATGAAATTTAATACTAATAAATAAACAAATCTCCCAGAAAATCTATGCAAAGAAGCCAAGTCGAACAATGCAGATGAGTTATACTTGGCAACTGACTAATGAAACCAACTCTATTCATTCACAGAAATGCCAAGCTTGCTTCCAACAGCCAGAAGACCAGCCAGTGATGGTACAACTGCATATGTTTGGACACTTTGTTTTTAAATTTTGGACTATACGACAAAGTGGTTATGTAGTCTGACAGATTCTGGAAGCTTTAGCTCACAAAAGGAACTCTGTATTTGATGGAAAGATAGGGTAAATATTATCCTAACGTCTAAATCAGTGGTTCCCAACCTTGGGTTTGCAGATGTTCTTGGACTGCAACTCCCAGAAGGCTTCAGCACCAGCTGCAATAACCAGAATTTCTTGAAATTGTAGTCCAAGAACACCCGGGGACCCAAGGTTGGGAACCACTGTTCTAAACAAATCCTGTTGTTGCTTCTTATTCCCGACTGGTGATCAAACATACCTTTGCAGTTCCATGTTTCCGTCAAGCTCATCTCCAATCCGGCGCAGGCACTCACTGAGGCGCTTGGTGTCGGGATCACAGTTCTGAGCCTCGGAGCCTCCGAGCTCTGCCATTGCTGCCTCAATACGTTCCGAGTCTCCACTGCTTTGTATCCGGTCCCTGATAAAGCTTTCACGGGGCAAACAAGAATAACAGACAGAGAGAGAGAGAGAGAGAAGTGAAACTCTTCAGGCAGAGCTCTAACCTAGTCCTAGTGTTCCTCATTCTGGAGGAATTTCCTTAACCCAACACAAAGCCAAGGACATGCTGGCAGAGATGGAAAACTTTACTTTTTAAGACTACAACTTCCTAACTCTTCCAGTCATAGTGGCCTTTAGGCATGCTGGTTGGAGTATTCAGACAGCTACTATCAAAAACTCTAGTTTCCTCCAAGCTTGGCAATGCTAGCCTCCAGTTTTTGTGGACACACTCACCCCTTGAGGAGCACTGTTCCTGTCTGAAGGATCTGATCCGAACTAGTGCCTGGAAGGGAAAAGATGGATCAAATGAAAACAGTACAAGAGGACGACGTGAGAGAAAATCATTAGGGCTAGAAGGCAGCTGCACTGGACCAGCTCAAAGATTCTAGTAGCCTTTTGTCTTGCTTGCCACAGTGGCTGACTAGAGGTTCACAAATAAGACACAAAGATCTTAGCCCTGTCCCATTGTGATTCCTTGGTAACTGGCATGGATCTTCTAGTGATCAACGTCCCATTGTGGTTCACAACCATTTACGTACCCTCCAAGAAATGATCCAATTGCTCTTAAAGCTGTCACCACATTTTGGAGCAGTGAACTGTACGAATTTATTACAAACTACCGAATTTTTCCGTGTATAAAACATTCCTATGTATAAGTAAACCCCACCCCCCACTTTTCTAACCCAAAATATTTTTCATTGCAAGAAAGTGTAGGGGGGAGGCAGGGATCAAAGCACTTTGATTCCTGCTTTCCCCCTCCACTTTCTTGCGAGGAACTGCAGTCCAGCAAATTCTGGCAGATTATTTGTCCCGGTGTATAGAATCCCAGTGTATAGAATCACAGAATAATTGAGTTTGGAAGGAGCCTATAAGGACACATAATCCAACCCCTCTGCCCAATGCAGAACACATAACAAAGCAGATCTGCCAGGTAGTTGTATGAGTTTCTCTTGAATTCTGGACGCCCAAATCTACTACCCAGCACATTATGGCGGATGTAGAAAGTTTTCTTTCCTCACACTTTAAAAATAAACATATACTTATTTATACATAAGATTCTGCCATTCTGCCAGGAAAAAAACCAAAAACCAAGTAAGAGATTTAGGTTTTCATCTGTTTTTCTGACAATACAACCACACCTCACTTCTTTTATAGTAGAAGTTGACAAAATGGAGCCATCCAGATGTTGTTTGAATGCAACTCCTATTCATTCTCATTCAGTTTGCTGGCTAGGGATGATGAGAGCTGCACCTCAACAACATCTGGGGAAGCCACACTTTTTTCTACCCTTGGATCAGAAAGCTTCTGCCTTTGTAGAGGGAAGACAGAGAGACTCATCCACTTGTCCTCCATCACCCCACAAACATAAACTGACTTCTGTTTCATTTCTCCCCTCCCCTTTCCTGGCAATGTGAGACTACGATTGTGACTGATCATTTACCTTGCTGTTTCTGCAGCTCTTACTCATCTTTGTACTGGCAACCTGAGCAGTTTCTTTCCTCCTTTCTTTTTTAAAAATCATAAACATGCTGAAAAGTAAAAGCATCATGCCCAAGGTCTACATAGTCTACATATTACACCCAGCCTATGAAAGCAGCTCAGTGCAGACTTATTTATGTATCAGTTTATTTAAAATATTTTTATCCCACTTTTCTCCTTAAAAACGGATCCAATGGGGTTAACATCATTTAAAAAAACATTATTAAAAGACAATCTAAAGATAGTAACTATACAAATATCAAGAAGGATCAAACAAATGCTGTACTAAAAAAACAGTAAGAAAAAGCAACACCAAGACACATTCAAGGTAGCACAACCATCCATTTAAAAACCCATTCAGGTGGCCCGTCACTCAGGGAAGGCTTGCCTGAAAAGAAAAGTCTTTGCCAGCTTACTGAAGGACGGCAAAGATGGGGCCAATCCCGCCTCCAGTAGGAGGGAGTTCCAAAGTCTTGGAGCAGCCACAGAGAAGGCCCTCTCCTGTGTCCCCATCAAACACAGTTGTGAAGGTGGTGGAACTGAGAGAAAGGGAGATTTGGTCCTTGAGGTAGCTTGGCCCCAAGCCATTTACAGCTTTATAGATTAGAACTAGCATTCTGAATTGTGCCCGGTAATGGACTGGCAGCCAGTGGAGCTGCTGTAATAAGGGGGGTTATGTGGTCCCTGTGTCCAGCCCCAGCTTTCCGTAGAGCCGGGCTGTTTTCCTAATGACCACATGGCAAGGGTAATGTACAGACGAACCCTGAGTCAGTGGTCAAACTAGGGGCTGGAGCTACATCTTAGCGTGGCACATTTTTGACCAGACTGGCCACACTGAAAAAACCAGAGCCTCTCACTTTCCTCCTGTAACATTTCTCAACAGGCTTCACATGCAGCTTTCCATATGGTGTAGCAGTTACAATAAGGATGTAAAATATCCAGATTCTAATTCTTCCAAGCCATAAAACTCACTGGGTTACTTTAGACCAGTCACTCTAGAGCTTGGATAAGTTACTTTTTATGACCTCAACTCTCTGTTTGGCAGCAGTCCAAAGAGGAAACCATTTCCAAGCGGTGAGTCACGATTTCTGACTTAGCTCATATAGCTGTTGTAGGATACAGTACAGAAGAGATGAGAAATGAAAACAAGCAAAGTAATTAAATAAATAAATATAATCAGAGCTACAAAGAAACAGATCCTTTTTGCACAGACGGAGCAATGCAGCTGTCTGTCAACACTGTAAATCACCCCACGGGTCAAGAGAACTTCATCATCATCATCTTAGAAGTGCAGGGCTGGAAGGGACCCTCTGAATCATCACCAAGCCCAGCCTCTGCCAAGGAGACACAGTGGAGAACTTAAAATTAAAGAAATACCTTCTGGGCTATTATTATAATTCATTATTATCATTTATACCCTGTCTTTTTCTGCAAGAGGACCCATGCAAGCTTACAATATTACAACAGACAACATTAAAAGCTAAAAGATACAATGACATGTTACAATATTCTAAAAAAATCAAACCAATATCCTATTAATACTAGTACATAAAAACAGTTTAAAACAAATTTAAAATCACATAAAAAAAATAAAAAGGCATAACAGCCCTGTTTTTAAATCCCTCCCACGGGCAACGATTTATTGAAAAATGCCTGCCTGGAGAGAAAAGAGGGAAGCAATTAAAGTTGTTTCCTTACCATCTCTCAGCTCATATGGGTCCCCCAAGCAATACAAAACCATAAATTAAAACACACACACGGAAAAAAACACCCAATTTGAAAAGCAATGCTAAAAGCCATAATTCTTTTAAAAAAAGATTAACCATTCTAAAATACAAATACTAGTAATAATCTTAGAACTGCAGAGCTGGAAGGGACCCTATGAACCACTGAGGCCTGTCAGAGAGGCACATGGGGGGAATCAAACTCAGCAACCAGACACCTAAGCCACTGAGCTATCCGACAGTTTGTCATCTTCATCATCATAATAACATGCCATCCAGTCAATTCCAACATTTTTTCACATTTGGGGAAAAGATAAATACCCTGTTTCCCCGAAAATAAGGCCTAACCTGAAAATAACCCCTAGTATCATTTTTCAGGATGCATGCAATATAAGCCCTACCCCAAGCTTTGATCTAACTTTAGATTGTAAATATCTAAGCAGCAGCACTTGATCCTAATGCTTAACCATGAGGTTTGTTGACATGGGCGTTCATTTGTGCCATCTTTGGTAGTCGTGACTAGGGCTATCCTGCTAATCTGTCTAGTTCCCTTGTCATGTCATCTCAGTTGATGGCTGTGGTCTGAAAACCAGTCCCTATTTCCTGTTGTTGTTATGTGCCCTCAGGTTGACTCCAATCTATGCAACCCCATGAATGAGCGATCTGCAAAATGTCCTGTCCTCAACAGCTCCGTTCAGCTCTTGCAAACTCAAGCCTGTGATTTCCTTTAGGGCATGAATCCCTCTCATATTTGGTCTTCCTCTTTTCCTGCTGCCTTCCACCTTTCCCAACATTATTGTCCGTAGAATCCTGTCTTCTTATGATGTGCCCATGCTATCTCAAAGATGACTATATTCACTTCCTGTACAAGTTTTTAAAACCCACTTGTCTGTATCTCCTCTTCTAATGTTTTTAATGTTATCAGTCTTTTGCTCTCCTTCCTGCAGACGTCTTCTGAGTTTTGCACTAGAAGTTACAGTTTTATGCAGTTTTTAAAAAGAGCATTTACACCCATGACACTTCATTTCTAGAACAGCATCTTCTGAAGGCTTGCCTGGTATGCTAGAAGTACTACCTTTCAAGCACTCCTTTAAATGCATGAATTATATGTTTCAGGCATTATAAAATCTTGGTAATAACTGTCTGTTTTAATGTTCCACCTTTAAAAAAAATGTATGGTTTTATTGTTTTGGTATTTTAACTGCATTAACAGCTTTGATGCCATTTTATCAAAGGGTAGTGTTTTAAAACAAATAAACAAGGCAAACCAACTTGTACACTCAAAGGTCAGCACACCGACAACTACCCAAGAGCTTGAGGGTGGGTGGGTGCCAGGCAAACAGCGGGTGAGATATCTGGAGCTCAGTTTTTGAGCCAATCCCTCTCATCCTCATCATCCACCTGACAGGATGGTTGGCTGGTGGGATGATGCTACAGAGAAGGAAATACTGTCACTCGCTTTACAATCCTTGGGGCAAAATGGCAGCAGTGACATGTGATTTAAAAAAACAACAACCAAAAAACAAGGATACCCAATATATCGTGTCATGTTCAGGCATGCCCGCCCGTTCCGGAGGTACCCGCCTCTCGACCACTCTGGGAAGTCAAGGCGGCTATCGGGGCACATACGATATTCACCAGGCAGAAAGACCCTTTTTACTTCCCTGGGCTTACTCTTGAGTAAACACGCGGGAGGGCTGTGCCGCAGGTGGCCTTTTATTCCGATTCCCTCCGGGTTTTTCCTCCCCTCCTCTCCATCAATGGAAAGAGGTCCCTTTTCCCTTCTCCTGCCCTGGTCCTCTCCCTCCACCCTGGGGTGCTGCCTCTCCCCGTTCCTCGTCCCGACCTGCTGCCGTCTATTCCCGCCCCCTCCCTTCGCGAGGAAGCTCACCCGTTCTCCGCGGTGGGGGCTCCGACTCCCGCGAGCTCCCAGGACCCCCCGCCGCCGCCATCTCGCCGTCACTGCCCCGCAACGCAAAAGCCCAGCGCCCTCCTTCGCCTCTCCGCCCAGCCTTGGCCTTGGACCAGCCCCAACCCGAAGCCGGCCCGGCGAGTCCAAGGACTCCAAGCCACGTGACCCTCCGCGCCCGCCGGCGGAGATGCGAGAGGAGGGGAGGCGTGGAGGATCGATAGAAAGACCGGGAGAAAAGGGGAAGGAGCGCCTCCTCGGTCACATGACGAAAAGGGATCACCAACGACGAGCCACGCAAGACGGGCGCACGTGCTGTCCTTTCGGTCCTCCGTTCGAAAGGCGTCAAGTCTATGGTTTCTACGAGTCGAAGGGGAAACTCCGCCTTTACGTAAGAGGGCGAGGCTTCGACTTTGTTGGACGCCAACAGACAAAAGGGGAGGGTGAAATGGGGTTGCCTGCCTGTAGAGGGCGGTAGAGGTCGTACCTGGTTTTGTGCCTTCAGCCCTGCAGAGCAAGCCGCTTAAATACAGTATATTCTTACATATCTCTGTATTTTTATCATACATGTTTGCAGTTTTTATTTGCGCCAAATAAATATACCAAAGTTCGTTTTTGTTTCAACAAACTGGGGTTGCATCCAGCACTTATAGTTACCAGCCTCTTGATTCCGCTTTTGATCCAAATGGATTTTGGGATTTGTAGTTTTGTTTTTTAAATTCCTCTGGTGGAGCTCTCCAGCACCGCTTTCTAAGTACCTCACCAAGCGATAAATCCTGCCAGGAGAGTTAATATCAAGCAAGTATTATGTGTGGCAGTAGCATAGGTACTTTCCCTGGGAATGATGAAAGCAAAGAAAATGTGTTGCCTAATCTAGAACAGTGCCTTATTGCATGCAGTGGGACTGCCAGTACAGCACCTTGAACCAAAGATGTTGGAAAATCTTTGGGTCCAAGTCCCAAGTCTGAATCTTTGGTACCAAGTCTCAAGTCCTTATTAAAAACAAGTTTTTTTTTCTCCTCAGAAAAAAAGGGAAGAGTGGGTGGGTTCTGTGTGAGGAGGTCTGAGGCTTGTGACCCACTTTTGGTCCCACCTGCCCTGCCTGCCTCACCCCTCTTCTCACTTCTCCACCACCCTCTCAAAAACCTTCCCTCCCCATCACTACCTCCTCTCCACCATTGTTTGTGTCTCCTGGATCTTCTGCTGATCCTCACAAAACCGCTTCTGGTGTATCTGTGAAGATTCTCAGTCATCCAGGTGAGGTTATCTAGACGTTGAGTTATGGCAATTGGACTTCTTTCTTGTTAGACTAAAACCTTTAACGACTCATTCAAGTGGACTTCTTTCTTGTTAGACTGAAACCTTTAACGACTCATCCAAGTACAGTAGTAGCTTCTTCACTCTGAGAGTTGGTGGGCGATTCATGATATATCCTCCACCTTGGTTCCACTTCCCCCTGCTCTGAATAGGCTCATTAGAAGGACAATGGGCTGGGGCTGAGGGATAATCCCGTTTCCCCCTGGGTTCAGTCAGTCCAACTGAGGCCCAAAGTTGCCTTCACTGGGGTCCCTAAAAGTCCAGATCTAGAGAAGCAGGTGAGTCCTGATCCAGGAGACAGCCCTTTTAAGGAATACTGGTATAGGAAGGTGATGAAGACCAGGCCAAAGTTGCCTTCACTGGGGTCCCTAAAAATCCAGATCTAGAGAAGCAGGCGAGTCCTGATCCAGGAGACAGCCCTTTCAGGGAATACTGGTACAGTATAGGAAGGTGATGAACACCGGACTCCGTGGCACTGCTCTTCCTGGAATCTCCTTTCCCACGCCTGTTGCCACTTAGGTCTCCAGGGCCAATGCTGGGTTTGGGAAGGCTCTGGGGTTCCCACCAGGTGCCTAGGGCAACAAGACTGGGCAGGGGAGGGGCTCGATCAGCTGGGGGGCTGAGTTGCCAGAGCCTCAGAGCCCCAACCTGTTCCATAGCCCAATGGGCTGGGGAGGGGAGGAGATGGCTCCCCTTGTTCTCTATCCCTGCATGCACCTCTGCGGAGATATAGAAGAGTCTCAGTGCTCTCACATGTCCCCTTCATCTGCCGTGGTTGACAGCCCTGAACCCTGCAATTTCTGCTCTCTTGCAGCTGTTCTGCATCAAGCAGTGGCCCTTCCGCCATCTGCAGAGGCGCATCCTTGCTGGCTAGGGGCCTAAAAACTTGCTTTCTCCCAGGCATCCCTGAGCTTTTGGGCCATGGCCAGATGGTCCGCTGCGGTCACTCGAGTCCCACCCCAAAATGGTGGGGGAGGCATGACCTCCCTGTTTGGCCTACAAAGCACCTGTGGACCACACTCTTAAATTTATCTATTTTGAATTGCAAGTCCCATTACGCAGAGCCAGTGCTTCCCCATTCTTACCTTGACTTAGACTGATGTTATTTAGGAAATCTTTAAAATTCTAAATCTGACCAAGACAGAACTAATTTTTATACCAGGTTCGATTCCGAACACCTCCAGATTTAAGACAGTTCAGTTAAAAGTGGCTTTTTGTATCAAATAGTTTTTATTGTACAGAAAGAAAAAACATTATCTTTGACCAGACTGTCATTTTGCTAAAATATGGGACCACAAGTTGCATTTCCTTTGTCTCTTAAAAAAGTCAACCCCTCCACCCTAACAGTGGAAGAACAGGTGACTTACCTGTAAAGGTGGTTCTTCAAGTGGTCCTCCATGAAGTCACACACACAGGTTTTGTAGCTTCTTTATGGCAATATCCAGCATGGACAAAGTAGGAAGGGATGGCACTGAAGCAACTCAAAACCTGGGCCCTGCTTTCTCCAGCTCAACGTGCTGTGTCAGGGAGGCAGACTGGACTCAATCTTCTATTTTAGAAGAGGAAGGCTGTAGGGAATTCTCCCACAACTATGTGCTGAGACAAAATTGACAGTTTTCAACAGCCAAAGGCCCAAATATGTGGCAATGTGGACAGGAACGGAGCTGACTGGATTCGCCCAAAAAGTAGAAGCACTTAAGAGTGCCCGCCGGACAAGAGGGCTTTCCTGCCACAAACAACACACTTCTTAAATGGTCCCATGGGGGCCATGCAAGGTGTGGGTGGGGACAGAGGACTGGGAATTCAAAAGCTTTTTTTAAAAAAACAAGCAACGAAAATAAGAAAGAACACTAAAGGAAAATAAGAAAAGAAGCCAAAAGGCTTAAGTTCGAACAAACGGTAGCTCTAGCATTTCTAGAAACTTCCACTGCGGTAGCTAAAAGGAACTGAGAGGGCTGGGTATTTGCGCGCCAATACATGCGCACTGGGAGGGAGCGGAGATTAATGGTCTATTCTTTTAAGCTCCAGAATGTTCCAAAGTTCCGTGTAGGCATGCTACAAAACCCATGTGTGTGATCCACGGAGAAGAAAGCAAGTTCCACTTTTCATTCTGACTCATATTAACAGAGGACCCAGAAACAAAATAGAATTCCCTTATCCAGTTCATTTACTGAACTATTAATATTCACATACTGTTTCATAATTCCTCATGGAGAATATTATACAAACAGTCTGCTAAGTGCTACTTGTATGGTTTAGCTTTTTCTCAGCTAGACAGCCCAGCTGAACATTGGAAAATAAGTATTTGGCACAGGCTTCTCTCACAAGAATTCCAAGGCAGAGTTGCCCGCTTTATTCCTCATAAAGGCAAAGAGTTATACTTGTAAGCAAACAAGTCAAAAGGTGCAGGTTTTCCGAAATGCTGTCTCCCAGACCAGTCTGTGAATTCAGTCAAAAGGCTTGCTTAACACGACTGTATGTTCTTGAAGATACTGGTTTTAGTTTCCAGCAGGTAACAAGCAATGGTGTGGCTGGATGTGCCTCTTCTGGCACAAGGGTGCAGCAGGAGAAATGGAGGGACGTTCTGGACAATCTCCAGGTCATGACATCACCACCAGCTATTAAGACGGTGCCATCAGCTATGTGGTGCCTTTACAGATTCATCAGCAAAACAGATCGGTCCTTAATCTCAAGAAGCTTACAATTAAAAAACAGACAGTGGAGAAACAACAGGAGGAGGAATATGAATGCAAGGAGTGATTAATGTTAAGCAGAGTCAGAACGCTTTCTGTCAGAAGTCCAGGTTCACAAGATCTCACATGATCCTAGCCTTCTCCAATCTCAACAATTTTCCAAGGATAATCCTCCATGATCACGTAAGTTCCGGTTCCAAATCACACGGCTCTTGTTCCATTATTTTGATGGAAGAAGTACAAAGGCATCATTTTATAAATAAAAATGAGGATTCCATAGTGATAGTATAAACTCCTTATTTATTTAGGAAGGTGTCCCAATATCCAAGACATCTGGATTGTTTCAATCAGCGCTTTAAAAAATATCAAGTTCCTTAAAAAAAAAACAATTCAAATCCTTGTCCAGAGTCTTCAGTAGAGTTGATTATGTGCTACAGATTTAATATTGACCACAATGCCCTCATTCACTCACATTTTGTGAGGGTCCTATCCATCTGTAATCCTACTGTTTTGTCCAATTACTGCTTCTAGCTTCTTTTTTTAATCACACGAAGTCCTGCTTTTTGAAAAGGATGGGAAAGAAATGCATAGCTAAAGATGTGCTTAGTGAAACTTTTCTATCTTTTAGAGAAACACAGTTTTGACACAGGCAGTGAGGTATTGGCTAGAGTAAACCTATCAGAGTTCAGCAAGCATCTTCTATAATCTTTACGGTGAGCACCATTTTACCACTCCATTAATTTTTAAAATCAAAAATTCAGACAGTATTGACAGGATTTTCCAGCTATATTTTTAAATATATCAGTCAAATACTGCTTCAGTGTAGGAGTGTTATTATGACACTGTAACAGCTATTATTTAAAAACAAAGGAGAAAAAAAATCTTCCAGTTGCTCTGATTTTATGAATTTAGATATCTTCTTTCTGGTTAAAATATTTTCAGTCTATACTTCTGATTAAAAAACCTACTAAATGTTAAAAACATATTTTATATTTCATTTTAGTTATTCAGTTATGTTTAAACAAATAAGTGCCTAGTCCATGTTCTAATGGCCACTCAGGTGAATTGGATCATATCCATCCATAGTCAAACTAGTGTGGACAGAACAAATGGGAAAAACATACAAAAACAAAACAAAGCCCACAAATAGTATCTCATATTTTGGGGGGAAATCAACGGCAAATCTGTTTTGAGTTCATATGGAGAAATTATTCACTGGCAGCAAGAGCAACTCATCTGGAAGCAAATGAGGCTGAAGAACAACGGGTGCCCTGGCACAAGTCACGTCAGCTGAAAGGTAGCCACCGTATTGCCTCAAAACACACCCAATCATGTCTGATTCCATCTACAGAACAGAGTTGAGCCTGGTTAGAACTTGGATGGGAGGCTAGCAGGTAATACCAAGGATCTCCAGGTAGGGCCAAGAAAGAATCCTGCCCCAAAACCAGAGAAGACTGCTGCCAATCAGAGTTGATAATACTGGCTGAAAAGGATGAATGGTTCGATGCTATACGTCAACACTTCCTATGGTTCTAGGAAAGCCTTCCACCCACTATAGAAACACCCACTATAGTGGAGAAAAATACACCAGCCAATCAGGATGATCCAGGAGTTGGAAGCCATTTTAGCTACACAGCACATTCCAGCTGGAAGTTGTCATTCATCCAGTTTGTCTTCCGTCTGGACCAGCAAATATCCATTGTTGTGGTGATCAGGATCTGCTGGGTTCCCTTCCTTGTCTCCCTCCTCTTCCTCCTCTTCTGTGGATACAGGGGTCATCACTAGGCCAGGGCGACTGCCACTGCCCTTGGCAGACCACTCTATCAACAACTGCCGAAAGAACATGACCGGGATGGGAAGAGCAGCCACAACGATAAGGCTTATGAGAAGACCCAAGGCCCATGGTGGATATTGCAGCTTCTGCTCTTCTGCCTGCAAGGAGAAGCACAGAAAGAGAAGGAAAGTAGGAAATCAACAGTCATCGGCTCATTTAATTTTGTATCAGGCCAATTCCAATGGAAAATATTCAGCACAGAACACTTTCCCCATTGCAGGAAATGACTCTTCTGTTTACTACCTCCACAATGGAAGTTACCTCCATAGCAAGGGCATAGATATATTAAATTTTCTTTTTCCAACTTCCATCTCCCTGGCCTTGCTCCAAAAGGAAGTCTGAGTAAAGAGAAGGAGTTTGTGCAACAAGGCTTATGACTCACAAAAAGAAACGGTCTGTTTTTTAGATATGTCTTCCCCCTGTTTGTAATTAAATTTCTTAAACTGCACCCATTATTGCAGTACAGTGGTGCCTCGCTTAGCGATCGCTCCGTTGAGCGATGAAATGGCTTCGCAATGGACTTTTGGCCATCGCTGGAGCGATCGCTTAGCGATGTCCCCTATGGCTAAAATTCGCTTTGCGATGATCGCAGGGAAGCAATCATGGCAAAGTGAACTTTTTTAAACAGCTGATCGGCGGTTCCAAAATGGTCACTGCAAAAATAAAATGGCTGCCGCTGTTTTGCCTTGCTTTAGAGGCACCCAAAATGGCCGCTGCTATGGAGAAATTTCACTTTAAGGTAAGTTTTTAGTCCATAGGAACATATTAAATGCGTTTAATACGTTCCTACCGGCCTTTTTAATATCGCTTACCGATTAAATCACTTACGGATGTTTTTTCCGAAATGGATTAACATCGCTAAGTGAAGCACCACTGTATTTTATTTTGTTTTGATCTAACTTGGGGACACCCATTTGTTGGTCATTCAAACCTATGGGTCCTTCCCCAACCAGTTCACTGCCACCACCCACCACCCCAGTCCAACACCAGCAGGGAGGCTTGAAATAAGCCACCCAGTGAAATGCTGCAGTACTGCCAAGCAGGAAGAATGAGTTACAGAGAAGGGGCCAGGAGCATCTCTGGCCACAATTCATTCCAGAGCTGGGGAGCTACCACTGAGAAGACCTGGTTCCTTGTTTTCTCCTTCTGGACTCTCTTAGGGTGAGCATCCTCAGCTGCTCACCCTGAGATGCATGGGTAAGATGGGCAGTCCCTCTTGGTAGAAAGAAATTTACTGAGGTCTCAAATTTTCATACTGCAAGCACTGTGAGTGAACAGTTGGGATTGTGTACAAGAATAATAATTGCTATAGTTGGATAGGGTGCAGGTCTTGATCAGAGTTGGGTCCCATCACTGAAATGCCTTCTGTTTCTCAAGCAGTAGTTCTACCTGTGTTCTTCAGATTTTTGTCTACAAATATTCACACTTTAATGAAGCACACGTCAGAGTCACACAGGATGCTTTGTTCTTTAGAAGGCAATGCAGTTCCCTGCCAAAAAGGTAACAGGGCCTATTGCTATTGCTTAGAAAGATGAAGGGGGTAAGACTGAATGGGATGAACGTCCTACCTTTTCTCTGTTCCAGGCTTGGTAGGTGGGATGCTTCAAAACCATGTGTATCAAACTTGCTAAAAGCAGACACAACATTGATGCCAGACTAACGAAGCGCCACATGTAGCTGTAGATCTTCCAAGGGCGCCAGCCCAGCATGGTTTCTATGTCACTTAAGAACCTGAGAAAAGAGAAAACAGACCAAGATACTGGATGGCACATCAGATTGAATGATTTAGGATGCTTTGCAGGCTGAGGGACTCTCTGAGACCTCAGGGAAGGTATCCCTACTTCTAACTAGGCAAGGTGCAGGACCTCAGATAAAGTTGGGAGGTAAAAGGCGAATTACCTGTCAGCTCCATAGATCCAAGCCACAGCGAAAGCTTCAAAAGCCACAACAATAAGGAGGGGCAGCGTGGCTGAATAGTCATCAAACATGGCCACAAAATAGTTGCCCGAGCGCTGAACGAAACCCAGGCCCAGCAGGAATCCAACAACACAACACAACACTGTAGGGAGAGAAAAGAAGGAGTTCGCATGGCCAGGCCCCCAGCATGCCCACTGGGAACCACAGACAGTGGGGAAACTGCACCGCTAGATTTGTTTGCCTTTGTTTGAGTAGTCAGAGGTGGGCCTTAGGCTGGAAGGAGCAAAGGCTTCAGAAAGTCAACAACAAGGGGATGCGAACCCATTTTGTTCGCTATGGGAGATCAACAAAAGCCAAGTGCCCCCAAGACATGCATAGAAATTGAGGTGCATAATGTTCAAGGTCAACCATATTATTCTGCACTCCATGCAGGAAAACTTCACAAGAATCTTTCCCCTTTCCTAGTAATAAAAACAAGAATCAATTTACTGCCTTTTCATTATAGTGGTGCCCCACTTGGCGACGATAATCCATTCCAGCGAAATCGCTGTAGAGCAAAATAGTCGTCAAGCGAAAGTAAAAAAACCCATTACAATGCATTAAAAACTGGTTAATGCGTTCTAATGGGGGAAATACCTCATCATCCAGCAAAGATCCTCCATAAAGCGGCCATTTTCTGGTGCCTCTAAAGCGAGGAATCCGTCCTAAACACAGCGGGGAGCCATTTTGCAACCCGCTGATCAGCTGTTTTAAAACCATCGTTAAGCAAAAAAATCATTTGAATCGTTTTGCGATCGCAAAAAACTCATCGTAAAGCGGATTTGTCGTCAAGTGGGGTGATCGTCAAGTGGGGCACCACTGTACATCCAAAAAGTGCTGCATGAGCCAGATGTTTTGCTCTGTCTAACAGCAGGGGCGAGGGAATCAATTTACTGCCTTTTCATTATAGTGGTGCCCCGCTTGACGACGATAATCCATTCCAGCGAAATCGCTGTAGAGCAAAATAGTCGTCAAGCGAAAGTAAAAAAACCCATTACAATGCATTAAAAACTGGTTAATGCGTTCTAATGGGGGAAATACCTCATCGTCCAGCAAAGATCCTGCATAAGGCGGCCATTTTCTGGTGCCTGTAAAGCGAGGAATCCGTCCTAAACACAGCGGGGAGCCATTTTGCAACCCGCCGATCAACTGTTTAAAAACCATCGTTAAGCAAAAAACCCCATTTGAATCATTGTTTTGCGATCGCAAAAAACTAATTGTAAAGCGGATTTGCCGTCAAGTGGGGTGATCGTCAAGCGGGGCACCACTGTACATCCAAAAAGTGCTGCATGAGCCAGATGTTTTGCTCTGTCTAACAGCAGGGGCAGTCCTTTTGTGCAGCTCAGTATGTCTCAATACTGCTAGGGAGAGAAGTGAGCAGAGGGCAAGCCAACCTGCCTACACCAATCTCCTGCATCTTGCTACTTCTCCCTAGAGACCAGAGTAGAGGCTCTGAGAACTGGAAACCAGGAGGTGTGGCAAGCAAACAAGCAGCTGCTACTCTACCATCTTCTGGAGAGGGCAGTGCTCAATCTTTCTTATTCTCAAGTATTCAGGTTTCCTTCACTCAGCACCCTCCAATTGAGCTGCAGCTTCCTTTATCCCCAAAGCACACATCCTGCCATTTGATGCCACTTGGTCTGGAATCCTGCCACTTTACGACAGACTTTTAAAGCTTGGTACCACTCAATGCGGTTGCTCTACTGTACCTGTGAAGAGGGTCCGCCGACGCCGAAGGCTCTGGAAGTTGTCCAGCAAGGGAGTAATGATTCCTTGCATGTTTCCCAGCATGGTGCTCAGCCCCAAATTCAATAGCATGAAAAAGAACAACACAGACCAGAACGGAGCAGTTGGAAAGAGGGTCATGGCCTCTGTGAACGTGATGAAGGCCAGCCCTGTACCTTCTACGCGCTGCAGGCAGGAAAAACAGAGGGAAAACATGAATCAGAGGATCAGCCATTGAAACTCAAGGGTGGCAAGCTTCAAGCAAACAGCAGGGTTGCATTTCAAGTAGAAATGGGCATGAGCCGCCATTCTGTGCAGTTTAGTGGTTCAGCTACACAGCTTCTCCTGTGGGCACCTACTCAGAGGCAGCACCTGGAGGAGGCAGGGCTGGGGAGCCGGGGCACCCACGGAAGAAGCTGTGCGGCCGAACCGTGCCAACACTGCAGGGCGGAAATCCATGCTCCTCTCTAATTCCAAGTGGGAAATTACAAGTCATCAGAGTTTTAGAAAGTCACTTTTTGAGACTACAGCTCCTAGATTCTCTGAGTCAGCACGGTTGCTGGCCCAAAAGTAGCACTTCCAAACTCTGCAGGTCAGGCACAATTCAAGCCTCCCCCCCACAAATACACCCCCCCACCCCAAATGCAGCTGCACGGCAGGAGTGTGTGGGAAAGGCTTTGCTCCTGGTAGCCCAGGTCATTGTCCCACTCAAGCTACCTCGTTCATCTCATCCTCGACACGGCAGTCGCCGATATTCCACTTCTGCAGTTGCTTCGTGGTGTCATTCTGGAGCCCCTGGTACCAGGTGCTGTACTGAGAAACAGAGGAGTTGGAGAAGTTCTCAGGAAGCCCACCAGGGAAGGAGCCGTTTAATACTAGTTGCGAGAGAATGTCAATATTCTTGAAGAAAACAAAGAAACAAACAAACAAACACCAAGTGCAAAAATGTTAGAGATCCTAAAGGTAAAGTTAAAGGTTCCCCCTGACAATTTTTGTCCAGTCGTGTTCGACTCTAGGGGGCGGTGCTCATCCCCATTTTGAAGCCATAGAGCCAGCATTTTGTCCGAAGACAATCTTCCGTGGTCACATGGCCAGTGCGACTTAGACACGGAACGCTGTTACCTTCCCACCGAGGTGGTCCCTATTTATCTACTCGCATTTGCATGCTTTCGAACCGCTAGGTTGGCGGGAACTGGGACAAGTGACAGGTGCTCACTCCATCATGTGGATTCGATCTTACGACTGCTTGGTCTTCTGACCCTGCAGCACAGGCTTCTGCGGTTTAGCCTGCAGCGCCACCACATCCCTGAGATCCTGGATGCCATAAAAAAGAAAATACGACTCCCAAGCCAATAACCTGAGTGACTGGATCAGCCTTTCCCAACCAAAGAGAAATGGGTGCTGGGGATAATGGACCACAATTCCCACCATTCCCATCTAGTGAATGGGAGTTGTAGTCCAACACATCAAGCAGGAGCCAGGTTGGGCAGGCTAGATTACACATTGCCACCTCAGGAGGATGCAGTTCTGAGGAAACCAGATACTGACTCTTAATTGAAGCAAAACAGCTCAGGCAGGGTCTGTTCAGTTCCTGGACAGAAGGCCACCTGAGAACAGCTTTATGATGGAAATCAATATAAATGCAATAAATGTTTCAATCCTGGGCATTTTCTTATTTATTTATTAAATTTATATTCTGGTTTTTTTCTGCCCAAAATGGCACTCATAGCAGTTAAAAATGAAATTAAAAAAACAAAGGCAGTTAAAATGTAAAATCAGGTTTAAAAAAAATTAAGTGAAAGAAATAAAGAAACAAAAAGCCACCTTGAACTTTAATCCCTCTCAGGTTAATTGGAAAGCAGAAAAGAAAACAGGCCTTTTGGCCATGTCGGTGAAATGAATTCCCCCGAGAAGCACATCCATCCATCCTCCCTGCCCACATCAGAACCCGGAAACATTACTTTTCTGAACTCCAATTCCAACTAATTGTAGTGGTTATACTGCCCAGGGGATTCTGGGAATTTTAGTCCAAAAAAGTAATTTAGCCTCTGGCCTAGGCTGAAATGGGCACTAAAAACAATTATTATTTTGAGAGGCTACTTTATTGTTGCTTCCTTATATGTGATCATGTTTTTTTTAAACTTCAGCAAGAAGAATTTGGGCATGGCAGCCACCACAACCTGAAGACGGTATCACCACTGGATACCTTGAGCCTCCCTTTGAGGGAGAGGCTGGTCAGAAATTTAATAAATAAATAGAATAAATTAATTTGACTTCCCTCCTCGTCTAATATTTTTTTCATATTAAACTGTTGACTCTCTTAAATTTGCACATGCCTTAAATGGGTGGCTGAGTAGCTCAGTAATTTAGATATGTGGCTGCAGAGCCATAGGTTGCGAGTTCAATTCCCCACTGGGCCTCCAGGGAGAAGAGCCAGCCTGTGTGGCCTTGGGCAAGCTGCACAGTCCTAGGGCTCCCCCGAGAAGAAGGGAATGGCAAACCACTTCTGAATATTCTCTACCCGGAAAACTCTGAAAAGGGTTGCTGTAAGTCAGAATTGACTTGACAGCACATTATTATTATTTAAAAAGGGGATGTAACTATCACAACAATAATGTGTTATATCTTCCCATTCTTATCTTAAAACACAAAATCCCTGCATGCAGCATAGTAGCAAAAGCCAAAAGAAGTGACTGACAGAAGAGAAAGGGGTACAAAGTCTGAAAAAGTTACATTTTTGTACTACATATCCCAAAATCTCTCCTAGATTTTTTTGTAGTACAAAAAAAGGAGTAATTTCCACAAATCGTGGGAGGAAGACGGCAAGGGAGGTACTCACCTCTGGACACAGTTCTGTGCGATGATGTTGGCACGGAAGCCCAGTACAGCAAACACCACCAGCGTGGCAAGCACGGAGGTAAAGAAATTGACCATGGCCACGAGCAGCCCATCGACGTGGCAGTTGTTGTGACGTGGGTTGTAGCTGGAATAGGCAATGATGGTGCCAAAACCCAGGCCCAGGGCAAAGAACACCTGGGTGGCTGCCTGGCGCCAGACCTGCATATCTCCCCAGATGGACAGCTTGGGAGTGGAGGAAGGCAAGCATGGAAAGCAAATGTTTAGACAGGGATTCCTTGTCAGGGGCCAAGCGATGACTTCCTCGGGCCACTGCTTCACATTTACTGCAACTCCAACTCTGTAATGTTTCCTCCAGTTTTCACATTGGCAGTATTATATATGGTTCAACTTTACTGTTTATCGTTCACGTCAACTTGTATTTGCTTAGGTCTGTATTCAGCTAGATTTGTCTGTTTAGGCCGGAACCCATGCAACCGTTAGTCATGAACAAAAACAGGGATAAGCCATGTTGGCACAAAATAAATTCCAAGCTCTTATATTCCGATGCCAACCTTTATAGGCCACCAGACAAGATGCAAAAAATGCACAGAAATGCATGCACTTTCTGGAACACCTTGAATGGAAAGGTCTTCCACTGTTGTGTGCCTCTGCACACTTTCTGTATCTTTTTGGTTGGTCTACAAAAATATCACCTCAATATGGAGTTTGTAACTGTTTGCTCCCCCCCACTGCAGTACAGATGGGGGAACAGTCCTAGACAACCTGGTGCCAGTGAAGCATGATGGGACTGGTAGTTTATCAAGATCTCTCCCTGCTACATGACAAATGTCTACAACATCCTTTGCCCTCTTCCTGTTGTTATGTGTCATCCAAGTCAGAACAGACTTATAGCGACCCTAATAAGATTTTCAAGGTAAAGGGGGGGGGTATTTAAGGAGTGGCTTCATCAGTTCCACTTCAGGCTTCAGACTCCTAGTCCATCACTCTACACCACACTGGGTACCTCTTTGTTATGTTACCGACCACAGTTACTGCTAAGACTGGGAACCACCATCCTTATGAAGAGCCTTGTGGCACAATGGTTAAATTGCTGTACTGCAGCCAGAACTGAGTTCATGACCTGGGGTTCAATCCCAGGTAGCCAGCTCAAGATTGGCTCAGCCTTCTATCCTTCCAAAGTTGGAAAAATAAGTACCCAGCTCACGGGACACGGAGACAAATGTGCAGCCTGCATAATTAACTTGTAAACCGCACAGAGAGTGCTTTCAGTGCTATGAGGTGGTATATAAGCAGCACACTGCTTTTTTAAAAAAAAAATTCTTGTATCATTTACAGCACACTTTGCTTTTTTTTAAAAAAAAATTCTTGTATCATTTTAAGCTTCACATAGAAATGCAGTAGGCTGTTATTTCTTGCACTTAAAACTTGTAAACTACAGTGCCCAGAATTCTCCCACCAGCCTGGCCACTGGTCACAGGATTCTAGGAATCAGAACAAGAAAAGAGTATTTTTCCAAACTTTGAATAGCTAGTACATTGCTTTTCCCCCTCTACCCTCCTATACATGAGTATTTTTCCAAACTTTGAATAGCTAGTATGCCCTATTGCTTTTTCCCCTCTACCCTCCCATATATGTAGTGTATGCATCCTTCAGTCTCAAGAGACTATGGTAACCATACATGTATCTAGCTAGTAAAGTTAGCAACCAGGATCCTATTGCGTACACACACTGGTGCCGTAAATCACAGTGGTGAACTGTTGCTAGTCAGCAGGTTGCCGCTTGAATCCTTATCATTCACCAACTCTCAAAACAAGTGTGTCATGAAGACCTTCAGTCTCAACTTCTTCAGTCACAGCTTCTTCAGTCACAGCCATTCGCCACTACCATTTACACCACTGTGCTCAAACAAAAAAACTAAGGAACAGGATTCTGCGAACTTCTCATATTTCTGAATATACAGGTTCTAGTATCCATAAGCTTATGCCAGAACAGATCTATCACAGCAGAAGTCTATGTATGTTTACTCAAAACTAAGTCCCACTGATATCGATTTGAATGCCAGTGATTTCAGTGGGACTAAACTGCTAAGAAAGCATGCATAGAACTGCAGCCTTAGTCTTCAGCTTGGTACAAAGCTCCTTGCTATAACTCTGTACCACTGGAAGAGCAAATTTTATTTTGAGCTTGCCATGATTTTCATTAATCTGTGTAGAGACAGAACAGCCTGAAACACCTGGATGTCCTTAGGGGGTCACTTGTTCTTGGAACTGAGATTTCATCATGTTTAAGAAGCCACTGTGGCCTTCATTAAAAGAAGCTCATTACTGAATATTGTTCCTAGAATGCTCTTCTGTTCTCCCATCCGATTGATTTCATCATGTTTAAGAAGCCACTGTGGACTCCATTAAAAGAAGCACTGAATATTGTTCCTGGAATGCTCTTCTGTTCTCCCATCCCATATATTGCAAACAGGTTTAAATGCTCTTGTTCTGATGTCCTGTCGGTTCCCACATTGAAGTAAGCAAAGGACATGCAACTTAGTTGCTGATTTGGGTTGAATCAAGACTTAGTCGTGGCCAGAGTAGACCCACTGAAATCAGTGGAGATCAAGGTAGTCATGGCTAGTCATCACCTGGAACCAGCCTACTGTCTTTCTTCTCTCTTTACTAGATAATTTTTGCTGTAAATTCCTTTGATATCAGCTCTGAAGAGTCATGAACTAATGTGACGTCGTGCCAGAACGTTTGGATGCAGAAGAAGAAAAGCTGGCATGCTGTGGTCTCTTACCTTGGGTGTAAACATGATCAGGATCCCATCGATGGCCCCTTCTAGCAGCAATGCCCGTACCAGGAAGCACAAGAGAACTATATAAGGGAAGAGAGAGCTGAAATACAAAACCTGGGATAGGGTGGAGGATGAAGAGAAAAATTAAAATACAATCAGGAAAAAGACAGTGACTTATAGAAGAATCACTGGTACTAAACTGCAGGAAGATCAGAGTCATAGCACACAGTCTGTACCAACAGGTCCAGGTCATCTGCCTCTTCCTATTTTACCTTTATTCCTGCAAATCCTTTCTCTGATGCTGCTAGTTTCTGTTCTCATAGGCCAATCCTTGTCCAGAGTAGGGAAAAGGCGCTTCTTTTAGACAGTGACTCACAGAATCTACCTGCTAGAATGGTCATGGGGCATGATGGCTCGGTGTTCTGGGAACTGAATCCCAAAAAGTAACTTTTCCAAATCCCTTAAGCAAGCCACAATACCTGCTTCCACACTCATCTATGAAACAAGTGCAGCACTGTATCTCACAATAGCGGCCACAGGAGAAGGTCTCCTGTTTCAAGGATGGGACAGAGATGTATCTGGCCATTCGCTCATGTTACAAATAAGTGCATACACATCCTTCATGACAGACAGGAAGGAGAAGGACCAGGCTCATAGTTCAATCACCAAGATAGGAATATAGAAAACTTAATACATCTGGAGGCCTTTAAACTGTAAACATACATTGGGAGTGTGATCTGTTGCAGAGATTCAGGTGGTACGATCACTTGAGCCAGTGTAGAAAGGTTTGTAGCCCTTCTATCTGAAGCCATTCCTGCCTGCTACAGCAACAGTACAACAGAAACAGGGCAACATGGAAATTAGCTGTCACTTGAATCCTCTCCTCTCCACACCCGGTGTCTCGTCTGCTTTCAACTCCCCTTTCCCATTCATTTCTTTCTCTGGCTTACTAGGGCCGCTAGGCAATCGAGGGTGGGAGGAGAGAACTGCACAGAGGAAGAGGACATTTTAAAGTAACTCTTTTCTAACTGCGCCTCTTGAAAAGCTGGTCAGAGCAGAGCTACCTTAAAATTTCCTCCCCCCTCTCAGCTGTGTCCTCATTCTTTTTTTTTTCCGGAACAAGCTGGAAGTAAGGCTGAAGTGAAAACTTCCTCCTGTTTTTCTGTCAATTCCTTGCTCTCCCCCCGCCCCCCCGGTCACCTAACTTTCCTAGTGCTAGGACAGTAAGCCTTTAAAAGAAAAGAAAAAAACCTAGAAAGCAGCTGAACAAGAAGAGAAGCAGGAAACAACTAGACTCAGGCAGCAAGTTTGGGAAGGTGACAACTCAGTTAACAAGCTGCAATTAAGGCTGATTTCCTCCCTTCTCTCTGCTGACTGCCGTGTGTTTGGCTGAAGTGAATTAACACGGGCAAACTCAACTTTCCATGTGCAGCTTCAAAGCAGATCCATTCACATTTCCCCCCGTCTACTCGCACTGTCAATTAACACTGAAAATACACAAGTTTGGGAAGGTGACAACTCAGTTAACCAGCTGCAATTAAGGCTGATTTCCTCCTTTCTCTCTGCTGACTGCCGTGTGTTTGGCTGAAGTGAATTAACCCGGGCAAACTCAACTTTCCATGTGCAACTTCAAAGCAGATCCATTCACATTTCCCCCCTGTCTACTCGCACCGTCAATTAACACTGAAAATACACAGAATTGCACTGCCAAGCATTTTCTAGAAATTTTAATTAAAACCCATGGATAGTCAGTTGATATTCCAGTGCTATTTATACAAATCAGAAAGGACTAGCAACTTTTATAATCAAATGCCAAAAATATCTGGAATAGGCTTAGAAGGGGCTTACGTGGCTATAATGCATACAATAAAGATGGAGACAGATCACAAAGACAATACTAATAACTGACCTTGCCAGAGGATTTGATGCCTTTGATCATAGCAAGACCCACAAGAGTCCAAGCAGCAAAGAGGCAGCCTACAAGAGCTGGATTGAGGCCCCCACTGTCTTCAATGGAGTTTGTCACATGCAAGGCCTTTCGGTACCAGAAGTAAACAGTGGCAGAACTGTCTGTGCATTCTGTTTCTAAAGAAAAAAAATAAAATTGTGTTGCAAGCACATCCTTAGAGAGTTAATCACAGGCAGAAGAGGCTGTCTGCTCTTACCATGTTCACCTACCTGGGACAGTTTGGTTGTTTATTTCTGGACAATTATTCCAGGGCAAGGGAAACTGGAAGGAATTTGCCAAGTAGAAAATACTCCATGCAATGATAACATTGTAATACAAGGCAACAAAGGAACACACCTAAAAGAAAGGAAGAAGAAATTAGCATCTCAATATCGTAGATGGATATTAATGCAGGATATCTACGATCAAACTAGATGCTAGCTTGTTAGGATGTCATGATAAACCAGAGTTCTGTATGGAACCTGGCTAATTAATGACAAGTTCTCTGCCTTCTTTCTCTCCCAACAAACTAGAAAACTAACCCAGAGTTTGTTCTATAATTAATAGGGAGTTGTTTTAATCTACTGGAAACGTTTAACTGGCTAGCTTCTCCTCCATGGGCAGGAGGACTTCCACAGGCCGCCAGCTGTTGACCCGCTGCTTCGCATGATATTAAAATAAAATTAAATTAAAAAAACAGAAACACAGCACCTATTTCCTATTCTGGAAGTGCTGCTGGAGGACACTCACCACACAGCTTGCAAAGCCAATGCCTGCCAGCCGAGGACTGATGTACTTCCAGACTCCAATGCTGCCCTGTCGAATAATTTGACCAGCTGCCAACTCCAGGAAGAAGAGGGGGATCCCAATGATGAAAAGGAGCAGCAGGTACAGCAGTAGGAAAGCTCCTATCCAGGGACAAATACGGATAGAAATTATAATACTCATCCTACAATTCATTCTGAAGATTCCAAACTCATCAAACTCTTCTCCTGAAGCTTGAAAATGTTGGGATAATTAAGAGATGTGACAGATGCACCCAGAAGCAAGAGAGGTGGCTTATGGGTGCACCCATAAGAGAGCTAACAAGTATATTAGTCTCCTCTCTGAAATATCCCTCTGCTCCTGCTGATGCGTAAGCCTGTGGGTCAAACCCCAGTTGCCTCTTCTAGTTCACCACTTACCTATAACCACCATCTCCCCTAATCTCAAATATGCAAGAGAATAATACTATCAGATGTTTGACTCTTTAAAACATAACAATAGGATTTTAAAATGCTGTTTCTGGAAAATCCATTGCAGAAAAGAGGGAGGCATTTTTCCAATTGGCACAGGGGTCAGCGAATCATCACCATGCCCAGCCCTGCTTTGAAAATGAGACGGTGGGTTTGCAAGTTTGCCTTAAGAGTCAACTAATCAGAAATGTACACAGATCTGCATTGAAAATGAAGGCAGTAGCTTTGCAGGTCTGTCATAAGGGCCAGCCAATCTGCACTATACAAATCCAATCCTCCAGCACCTGCCAAAAACCCAGAGAACAGATTTTCTTCAACCCAAAAATGGGTGAGAAGAACATATATTTCATAGCTAATGCACCGGACTCGCCACTAAAACTACAGATGGTTGTCTTTACCTAAACATGAAAAGCTGCCTTCCTGATTGACAATGCAGATTATTGTGTGTTTTTTTTATCTTTGCTATACTGGTGGTCAACTATCTAAAGCTCAGATCCTATGTGTGTGGACCATACAACCAGGAAATAAATCAGTATTTCAGAACATGGCCAAACAGCCCGAAAAACCTACAACAACCATCAAATCAGTAATTGCTGGTTGTCAAATCAATTCTGACTTGAGGTGACCCTCTCATATCTTTTCTAGATATGAAGTCCTGAGAAATGATTTTGCCAGTCAGTCTTTCTGGTGGCAGTTTGGGGCCATGCAGATGGACCAAGGTCTCAAAACAACAGGGCATATAACCTATCAGCCATGCAAGTTCCAATGATCTTAGCTGCCCTTGCACCTTGAGAAGTACAATTGAGATTTAAACTCTTGGCCCTGGCTCTGCAGGCAGGATATCCATCACACAGAGCTACACCAGCTCTGCTGTAAGGAAATATGTGAGCCTTATTATGAACTATGTTTGCTTCCTGACAGATCCTGGCTAAGTAACTGGCTAGTTGATCTGAATGGTTCTGGGAGATGTTAGATGAAACCATAGCTTTTTGAAACTGTACTTCTGAGTTATCTATGGCAAAGAAGAATTCTCTCTCTCTCTCTCTCTTTCTCTCATACACACACCATGTAACTCGTAAACAGGGATATCCTTTTCTAGTGTAAATCTGGCCATCTGATGAAATCCTCACATCAGGACATGGGTGACTCTCCCAGACAATAAAGTGAATCAAACTGATTCTGGGAGGAACCATGAGAGAAGGAAAGAGGAAGGCAGAAATTTGTGTATGAATGGCTAGTCTTAGCATCATACAGGCTCTGCTTCCAGCAACAAAATATCTAGAGCCAGGTCTATCAAAGGCACTCTTTGGAAGCTAGGCAAAAGGTTGCTTAAGACAAGGTCTTTCTCTGTGATGATATCCCAGCTGGGAACTTATCTTCTCATAATTTTCCATATTGACTCTACCACTTATCGCTGATGCTTTATGTACCTGGAAGGTTCCAAGGACTTACTGTTCTGAATTTGCTTACTATGCTGCTTCAGTATGGTTCCTAACATGGGATGCCAAGCGGTCTGGAAGCCTGAATTATTTATTTAACCATAAACGGAAGCTAAAAGTACAGACCCCTAACTTAGAAAAATCCTGGCATTCTTGCTGTACCCCAGTCCTCCATCTGAACTTTCTGTAGCTACGACTCACCTCCCCCATTTTGATGGCAGAGATAGGGGAACCGCCAGACGTTGCCAAGTCCTACAGAGAAGCCAACCTGAGCCAGGATATACTGGGCTTTGGAGCCCCAGGCTGGTCGAGCAGCAGAATCATCAGGCAGCAGATCTTGATTGGATTCGCCTTCAGGGGTTACTGTAGATTCGAGGTCAGCTTTGGATTTCTCCATGGATGGAAGGGGAACACACACACAGAGACAGACACACGCACACAGACACAGCTGAGTTCTATTACTCCTCGTATATTCACAGACTCGACCCAATTCACTGTGCACATTTGTATGCACTTCTTGGATGTTTACTCAGAAAACAATACGCTTCTGATACAAATACCTGTGTTTAGCACATATACCTGTTAATCACAGTGCTGGAAAAATGGAAAGGGCACTGAAAGTGCATGTCGTCTTTGCTCAATAAACAGAGCTTGGAATATCACTCAAAAACACTGTAATGCATTCTCCATTACGTGTTAAATTGTAAGTTTCAATGTAACTATCATTGATCATTTTGTGACTTAACCATCATTACTGTTTTTCGTTAGTGTTCAATTATTACTAATGTAAAAATGTTAACAGCAGAATATCATTTAAAAAAACCAAATGTCCTTTGAATGTTTCTTTAAAAAAAATAATTTTATAGAAGTAAGGATTCAACCTTACTCATAAACATTAGTCATAACCCTTAAAATTAAAACGAATTATTATCCAGGAAAATAAAAGAGTTATAGGTAAACCATTCCTTGTAAAGTTACTCCAAAATTACCGGTAATATTACTTTTAATCCGTTAAGTTGTTTATAAGAAATCAGTGCCTTACTTTGCTAAGAGTAAGTGTCAACTACTTTTACATGTGCATTAATGTGCACATGGCTTTGACACTTTTTATACAAATACTTTTAATACAAATCTGTATTTGTATAAAAAGTGTCAAAACAATTATATTACAGTATACAAATATGTCTATTTGTATAAATAGACATATGATAAGTCACTGGCCAAAACAGTCTTGCTCCAGTATGAGTCGGGTTTTGCCTCTCTTTAGTTGCAGCTAGTACACTGCATTTGGGTGTATTCTAATATACAAACTCACACACAAAATAATCACACAGACAGAAGCAGAAGAACAGTGTCTTTATGAACTAAATTGATGGCAAGATACACGCACACACACACACATTTCTCCAAAGCAAAGGAATTCAAGCCTGCAAAGGGAAGAACCATCAGAGAAAGAGCAAATGAGCAGATTTATTTTTTAAAAAGATGATATGCTAAAATGTAGAAGTCTGGACGTGGCATGACACATTTTCCAAACTGTAGTCTGATAGTTCAGGAAACATGCCACAACTTCGTGTATTTGCATGCTCCCTCTTTCCCCTGCACACTTCTGCCTCCCACCTTCATTCCTTGCAACCACAAACTTTACTCAAACATCTGAACTATTAATGCATAAATCTGCTCCAAACCAGAAACTGAAGCCAAATTTAAATTGTGGTTCTAAGTGCGGCTATGAGGTTGAACCCTAGGACAGTTTGCTCTGTTTCAAAAGTAACTGAGCGCACTTGGGGGATTGGAAACAGACCCACAATAGAGTCTGTGTGACTGTTTGTTTGCAATGTATTCTACAGTAAGGAGACACTCTGGCTTCTTCCACTAGTAAGAAAAACTAGTGTTACTGGGAACCTTTCCTTCCCAGTGGAAGAGAAAAAAACAACAACACGTTAAAGGGAGCACAAGTAGCGACCTTATCCTAAGTCACACCACTGACCCATCTAGTCCAGTTCTGTCTGCTCTGACTGGCAGCAATGGCTTTCCAAGGTCTGCAGTAGCGTTGTTTCACTGCCCTCGCCAGAGATCTCTGGTATTCCTTGCCTGACTCCCACCAACGTGCTAGGCTGTTTAGTTCCCAAAATCAGATGAGATCAGGTGTTTTCAGGATGGCATGGTGAGGTGGAAAAACAACATCTCTCCAGGGATCATTCAAAGAAGAAGATTGCCTTTCCTTGTCCACACACCAGAGAGCTGTGGTTTAACAAATCTGGAAGGCGCCAGGCTGGGGAAGCCTGATGTCCTTAAATTTTAATTGGGAGACCTTTTCAGAAAAGCAGCATTCAGAGAGACAGTATAATAAACAGATGGGAAGATGAATGGACCCCCTCGCCTGCTCTTGAGCTGCTGGCTGTCTCTGTTCTGTTCTCCAGAAGATTAGTAAGAAGTATTTGTGACCGCAAAGTGGGCACGGTAGCTTTTCTAAGCCAAAAATACACCAGTACAAAATGCCTTTCAAACCGTTGTTTGGGCATTTTCTTGCCATCACTGTCAGGGGACTCAAATCATATAGCTGTCTAGAACTAATTTCAGCTCCTGGAAATATTCAGATTGACACAAATACGCTTCATGTAGCTGCTCTGCAAATTTTTATTGGCAACATTTGGAACTGTTTGCTTTTTCTTCCTTTGAACAAACAGGATGGTTGTTTGCAGCTGAGAAAGAAGAGCTGGCTCTCATGAAAACAGTGCAGATGGAAGGGAACCAGTATAAAGCGTTCTGAGACAGTTTGGGGAAAAAGACTGGATTCAAGGAGGTGGAATATTTTATATCCTAGTCCCCTAAATCACTGGAAGGCATCTTCACCCAGACCCTCCCACTATTCCCTGCAGATTTTAGGAACAACGAGCAATGTAAATACATATATTTTGTATATACAGTGGTGCCTCGCAAGACGAGCGCTTCGTTTTACGACGAAATCGCATAACGACGATGTTTTTGCGATCGCAAAAGCGATCGCAAAACGATGTTTCCTATGGGGTTTTTTCGCTTTGCGATGATCGGTTCCCTGCTTCGCTAACCGATTATCACAAAACGACGATTTTCGCACAGCTGATTGGCGGTTTCAAAATGGTCGCCGGGTAAAAAAAATGGCCGCCCGCTGTTTTCTGGGACGGATTCCTCGCTGCACGGGCAGCGAAAATGGCCGTGCTATGGAGGATCTTCGCTGGATGGTGAGTTTCAAGCCCACAGGAACGCATTAATCGGGTTTTAATGCGTTTCTGTGGGCTTTTAAAAATCGCTTTACGATGTTTTCGTTCTACAGCGATTTCGCTGGAACGAATTAACATCGTAATGCGAGGCACCACTGTATATGTAAGTATATATGTATTGGTTGGCTTTCTATAGCCATGAAGACAAGACACTCAAAAACCCCTAAGTTTAAATACTGTATCTGGATTTTAGACTAGTTCCATTGATTCAGTGAGTCTGCTCTAGCTGCAACTTACTTTCACACAAGGATTGGGAGTCTTCAGACTGCCTGGTACTGCCTGGTACTGCCTTGACTGTATTTTCCCTGGCTTCCCTGAACCTTTCTTGAACCTAAGAAAAAAAGAAACAAAATATCCCCCTCTAGTGGTCGAAGGCGGAATAGCAGCTTCCCATTAGTTTCTATGGACGGAAAAGAGCAGATACGGATCAAATGGTTTTCAATGCATTCCTATGGGAAATGCAGATTTGACCTGAGAACTTTTTGACTTGAGAACCGCCTTCCAATACGGATTAAGTTCTCAAGTCAAGACCCCACTGTAGTTCCATTGATTCAATGAGTCTGCTCTAGCTGCAACTTACTTTCACACAATAAGGGGCAACCAGAGTTGGCCTATTTGAATCAATGGAATATACGGAGGCGCTGACTCACCAAATCCCCTCTGATTCAGTGGGCCTGCTCTAGTGTGACCGAACAAGCTACACAACAGGATTTCATCCATTTACTTGGTTAAATGAAAGGTGTAATTTACTGCTCTGGTTCAGGATGCAAAATATCTTGGGATGAGGCCTGGGCTCATCTTCTCCACAGTTCTTCTCTGCCAACACTAGAGAACCAGTTAAGCTCTCGTTTAGCCCAATCCCCAATTTTTCTGCTGAATTGCCTCATTATCACCACTTTCCCCCCTCCCAATCAGTGCCTGGCTGCCAACTGTGTCTGTTCATCATCCTCGACATTATCCAGTTACACCAACTGCGGAACTGGCAGACTGAGAGAACATGCCCCCCCCATCTCTCCCCCTCCTTGGTGCCCATTCAGATTACCATCTGACTATCCACACCATGTCTGCATAAAAGATGAGTAGGCCATGCCAACTTCAGCAGCAGAGCAGGAGGCGACACCAACCATCATGCCTAGCTTTGTGTTCAGGCTAATCTTTTGTTCTCTTCTAACCCCTTTCTTCCAATGCCAATGTCAATGCCAAACACTCATTATTTTCCTACAATGATGGCTCCAGGCTGGCCTGACCTTCACAGAAGGGTGGCCGTCAAATACGAAAAGAAGAAACGAGTGCCAACTCAAGAGAGAAGGGAAGTTATGGAAAGGAGCAGCCCTGGCAGCTTGTGACAACCCATAAGGCCATGGCAACCGGCTCCTTGCAAAGGCAGCACAGCTGTGTTTTTAAGCCCTAATGAAGAAAGGGAATATTTGACATCTGCAGACAACTCGAATGATGGTTCTCTGAGACAGCTATCTTCCTGCCAAGTATGAAGGAAGACTGTGCAGATCTGGTCCTCCATTATGAAAAATTATCCCAAGTGACTCTACAGAGTTCCCAGGGAACTTTTCCGTTTGCCTCTCTGCTGACATTTTCCTACCTCTCTGATGGCTAAAGCTGGATATAGCAGCCATAGTTTAGTGGACCAGATGTAAGTGCCTACAAATTATCTCATGTTCAATTCCCGTTAGTTGCAATTAGGAAGCAAGGGGAAGGGCTTCTAGCTGACACTGGAATGGATCTCTGCTGATCTGAATAGACAGTTCTAGCACTAGAGAAACAAAGTATTTGATCTGGTATATGGCAGCATGTTGTCCCCTGAAGCTTGTCAGTGATCAAAATACTTTTGTGTAGCAATGTATATGGCATAACTTTTGGAGGTGAATTGCCTCAAGTTAAGAAACCACTGTTTGGGAGGAAAGCGATGACAAACCTAGATAGCATCTTAAAAAGCAGAGACATCACTTTGCCGACAAAGGTCCGCATAGTCAAAGCTATGGTTTTTCCAGTCGTGATGTATGGAAGTAAGAGCTGGACCATAAAGAAAGCTGACTGCCGAAGAATTGATGCTTTTGAATTGTGATGCTGGAGGAGACTCTTGAGAGTCCCCTGGACTGCAAGGAGAACAAACCTATCCGTTCTGATGGAAATCTACCCCGAGTGCTCACTGGAAGGACAGATCCTGAAGCTGAGGCTCCAATACTTTGACCATTTCATGAGAAGAGAAGACTCCCTGGAAAAGGACCCTGATGGAAGACAGGAGGGCCTGGTGTGGTCTGGTCCATGGGGTAATGAAGAGCCAGACACAACTTAACGACTAAACAACAACAAGAAGAAATCACTGTAGATATTATCACTTGTACACTGAATCATACAACTCAGTACGCAATTGATAATGTCTGTGATTTCTTAGCTTGGGGCAATTAGTCTCCCAAAGTTACACATTTGTACTATGTCACTGTAACTATGCGATAAGATCTGGGCGAGTGTATCAGTTTACACATTCCATTAATCTCCAGATAGCCTTCAGAGGTCATAAATTATGTTTGGATGAACAAAATGATTTCTTCTTTAGGGGTCCAGATGCATAATTAAATTGGCATCACTTATCAATAAGGGATCAAACTTACAATGACAGTCATTTTGCTGACTGCATTTCTGTTCCATTCACGTCTAGAGTCAGGTGAGAGGCGGATTGGAACTCAACTCTCCACCTGCCCTGTTTGGTTTGGTTCTCTGCTGCCCCTGCTTCTTTTTTTCCAGTCCAACTCAAACCCAGAAAATGACTTAAGTGGGGGAAAACAGCAGAGGCAACAAACCAGTGGGAAGTAAGGTAAGGAGACGTCCATTCCTGTGCATCTGGATTTTGATGCAAAACGCAGACCTTCATACTTTATGTGCAACTGCGATCGCATAGGTTTATGATTATTCAGTGATGAAACAGCCAACTTGAAGATAATCAGAGACAGTCTTCTTTTAAATGTACTTCACATGTTCTATGGCTCAGAAAATGGGTAAGGGATTACAGCCCAGTGGCAGAGCACATGGAAAACAGGAACACTGAAAGGTGCTTTATACTGTGTCAGACCACTGATTCATCTAGTTCAGTACTGCTGACTCTGATTGGCAGCAGCTCTCTGGCAGGATTCAGGTAGGATTCCTTCCTAGATACCTGAAGTTGTCAGGAATTGAATACAGGACACTTTCTGCACCTTTCCCTTTATGCCCACAAAGGCCTGTGTTCAATGCCTGGCATCTCCTGCTGAAAGAATCTTTGTGAATAGGATTAGAGGAACAGCTTTTCTCAGCCTGAGACCTTGTTCAGTCATTGCCACCAGAGTAAACAACCATGGGCTGCGCTGGGTAATGCCCAATCAGATTGCGGAAAAGTAGCTTTTTAAAAACTGAAGCTCCCACAGTCTCCCATCTAGCATGCCTGCTGGCCATACTGGCTGAGAGGTTGAAATGCTGGTAGCTGTAGCCCCCCCCCCCAAGTAGTTTTATGTGCTTGGGCCTGACTCTGTACAAAGTAAATTCCTGATAAAAAAGGCAAAAGACTTAACTCCCGTGTCTAATAAAATCACATTCATACATATGGAGAAAGATTTGGTATACTCACATGTGACAGAGGTTTCCCATGGGTTTGTCTAAGCACGGCAAAACATGATTTCAAGCAGCATGTCCATTTTCATTTTCTGTTCTCACAGCCCTTGGTTTCTCAGTTAAGTAGCCTCTAAAGGTAGAACAACAACCATAAGTTTGGCTTGTCCAATTATTTATTTTATTTTGCTTATTTAGGTATTTCTGGTATGCCCTTTTAAAGATAAGGCCTTCTAAGATCAGCTCATAGAAAACAACTATAAAATAGAATGTCAAATATCAGCACGATAACCATTAAAAGAAAATCAGTATATCAGTATAAGCCAATATACAGGCCAGAAATATAACAACTTAATAGCTTGATGTGGTTATATGCATATTATTTGGGAGGGAGTTCCACAAATGTGAGGTCACTACAAAAAAGGCCCTGTCTGTTATATGTGCCAACATGATTCCAAATGATAGCATAAACATATTTCACAAACATATTTCAAGCCACGGTGTGCAATTTGGGTTTGCCTCACTCATCTGTTAACTCAAACACGAATTTCCTTAAACTATCATTTGGCTGGGTGTCTAAACAGAGCCAAAGTATTTAAGTCAAATTTTCTTTACAGGACTTCCACATTATGGAAGCTTTGTTTCTGAAGCACACAATCTCAACAATAATTGTATTTGCGAAGGCTTTCACGGCCGGGTATCTAATGGTTGTTGTGGGTTTTTCGGGCTTTTTGGCCATGTTCTGAAGGTTGTTCTTCCTAACGTTTCACCAGTCTCTGTGGCCGGAGCACAGAGTGCTGTCCTCTGAAGATGCCGGTCACAGAGACTGGCGAAACATCAGGAAGAACAACCTTCAGAATACGGCCAAAGAGCCCGAAAAACCCACAACAACCATCAACAATAATCTGTTCGCATTTTCAGTTTTTCCTTAAGCCCAGAGAAGAGTACCGAAAAGACAGATGCATGACTAGGCTGGCTATAAATATGCTTATGTTGCCTGGGGAAGTCCAAAGCTGTAGTCCAAAAAAAGTAACTTTTCCCATCTGTGAATGAAGTTTCAGGTTGGGATGTGTGTAATGTGGCTTTCCAGATGTTGCCTGAGTGCAATTCCTATCAACAGAGCCAAGGATGAGGAATGATGGGAGACGGTGTTCAGGAATGTAATATTTTTGTTATCCCTATTCCAAGGCAACGTGTACAAGAGAATTGTTGTTACCAAGCTGCCACTGCAGGTCCCTTGTTGTACAACATTAGCTACTGCCGAACTCCATGTAACATGTACTTGTGCACCGTTTTCCCCAGCTTCCCCTATTTCAAAAGCAGATTATGGCAAAGGCTGCAAACGAAAGCGAAAAACTAACACGTGGGAAATGAGTGGAAAGAGTATGTGTTCTAAATTTTTAAGCTATTTTAAACCCTGTACACAAAAATACACACCAATCTGCTTTCTGCCCCACAGAGAAAATGACATACATGCATACAAAGTATAAGTTGTCCACTTTTGCTTGCTGACTCCACCACTGCATTTTGACAAACATTGCAAGAATAATAATAAAACCTTCAGGGACAAACTATGCAGTGATTGATCATCAATCAGCTCATAGAGCCTGGGCCTCAAGGTACACAAAGATTTTGCTCCTCGAGGTGATCCACATTTATATAACTGGGCATGACTTTGGCCTCTTTGTGAGCCTATACGTGGCAAAACCACCATCTCATTCAAGAAAGGGAACTGCAGAAGTCTCAACCAAACACCAAAAATATTCAGTTGACCAACATGTTCTTATGCAAACAGACGTTCCAGCTACCTGACCAAAAGCTTGCTATTAACAGCCTGTTTAAAGCTCTACTAACTCTTTGGGGCTTCACTGAAGGTAACTGACCATCAATCAGCGAGCATATTTTGATTGGAAAGGGTGCAAATTGCAGGCAGAGTTGTTAAATTTGGGAGCATATTTTGGCTTTAACACTTTGGCTATAATAAGTTATTGTACTCAGTGTGGCATAGTGGATGTTAGACTAGGACTCAGAGGAGACCTGCTTGAAATCCCTATTTGGCCATGGATAGAAACATACTGAGGGAATAAAGGTAAAGGTTCCCCTTGCCATTTAGTCCAACCATTTCCGATTCTAGGGCGCGGTGCTCATCCCCGTTTCCAAGGCATAGAACCAGTGTTTGTCTGAAGACAGTTTCCGTGGTCATGTGGCCAGTGCGACTAGACAAGGAACGCTGTTACCTTCCCACCAAGGGGGTACCTATTTATCTACTCACATTTTTACTTGCTTTTGAACTGCTAGCTTGGCAGGAGCTGGGACAAGCGACGGGGGTTCACTCCATCGCGTGGATTCGATCTTATGACTGCAGGTCTTCTGACCTTGCAGCACAGAGGCTTCAGCGGTTTAACCTGCAGCGCCACCATGAGCTGGTAAAACCACTCCTTAAATACTGTATCTCACTCGCCTTGAAAAGCTTACCAAGTTTGCTATAAGTTGAATGTGACTTGATGGCACGTAACATACATAATTCCCAGTCACAGGAAATTTCAAATTGTTTGGAGAAAGCATATGATCCATTTATGGCCTAGGGTATTAGACACTGCAACAAGCAGAGTGCTGGATTCCCTCCTTACAGAACAGCAAAAACACAGATGGACATAAAGGGTATTAGTAGGAATTTCTAATATATTCAGCAGAGATGCAAGGGGAAAGTAGGATTGGGGAAAGCTGATGACACCCTGCAAAAAGCAATGACATGCCGGTCCCAGAACACATATCAGTGTGCAACATCACAGTTGGCTCGATAGCTCATTGGTATAGGTATCTGGCTGCAGAGCCAAATGCTGGGAGTTCAATTCCCCATTGCGTCACCTGCAAGTACAGTCAACCTATGTGACCACGGGCAAGCTGCACAGTTCCAGGGCACCCCAGATGAAGGGAATGATAAATGACTTCTCTGTATTCTCTACCCAGAAAACCCTGAAAAGGGTCACCATAAATCAGAATTGACGACAGTACATGTTGATGATTATGGTGGTGATGATGATTTTGATGCAATTTCACAAAATCACACAAGTACATTTTTCAAGTTGTACAAGAATTCACTTCTGGTTAGTTCATGGACCATCAAAAGAATGTGACTGTTACCTTTTGATCATAGACCATTAAAAGGGCAATACTGCCTCATTCTCTGGGGCACTCTTAAGGCAACATCCAGTTATTCCTGCTCCAGGATCCAAAAAAACAGGATTCCTAGGTCACTGGTTCTTAACCTTGGGTTACTCAGGAGTTTTGGACTGCAATTCCCAGAAGCCTTCACCACCAGCTGTCCTGACTGGGGTTTCTGGGAGTTGCAGTTCAAAAGCATCCGAGTAACAAAGGTTAAGAACCACCGTCCTAGGTGACCATTAGAATGTTTTCACTAAGCTAAAACAAGCTACATATTATG